TGCAAACAACCTGTTGATGTTTCTTCTTAAACGAAGCACCTTTAGTAGCATTTTTTCTTATGGAATAATTATAATCACATTAAACGTTAGATTAAACTTAAGCCATATATTGATGTGTGTGTTTATGTATATGTGTGTACGTTGTGCTACAGCAGCGTAGTAAAGGCGTTCTTAAAACTGTTGCCAAAACACATCGTCTAATAGTCCGCAATATGTCTACGCAAAAACCATTCACTGAATGGTAAACGAGCACTTTTACAAATTAATAGTTCAATAAACGGAGTTTGTGTGGATAAAGAGTGATTGTTTATGCCGGCCCAAGGGCAAGTTTGAGGAAAAACAGAGCTGCAGAAACGTTAACGATCTGAAGATGCATCATTGTACCAGATGTTGTTACTCTAGGATGGAGGATTGTTGCGTCGACGATAGAATCTGAAGGAGAATTTATATTCTGAATTCGATTAACTTGTTTACAACGTAGATTTTCAGATGCGAACATCAAATAACTGTTTACGGTGTTCATTTTATACAAATTTTACTTAAAAACTAAAGGCTGATAGTAAGTAATTTGATACAAGAGCCTTTCTTCATTCGTTTGCAACACATATTGAAGTTTGTCCTGGCCGAACGATCTGCCACGGTTCAGTCGCATTGCTCCCTTGAACACTTTGCCGCACCCGATACAATGTGTCTCTGAAAATTGCACGCAGCAGTTGCTGTCGCATTAATGTGGATATCCGAAGTAGGAGAACCTCATCTCTGGAACTGAAAACGTCCGCCTTTTGCAACTACATGCGACTGTTATGGAGCTCTGACACTGACCATCTTTCCTCTAGAAGCATTGTATTTGTTGTTCGTTGTCACCGGCAACTCCATCTTCGTTTAGCTGATCATAAGCACAAGGAACTAAGCAAACACGCAAGGTTTGTCAAATCTACGCCAAAATCTGGTGGCGCTTGTGGTGTTGTCATCCGCAGGCACCATTAAGCTGGCAATGCTGGTAATGCCAGGTCTTGCCAAGTCCTGCCGGGACTAGTTCTCCTCAGAGTCAACGGTCACCGCCCCCGGCTCCGCCTTGCCTGCAACGGCCAACTACGCTTCTTTCTCTCTCTTTGCACCATCCCGTTCCCTGTAGGGCCACTCCGCTCACTATTATACTTTGTTCCGCCTACATCTCTCGTTCTACTACCCCGTTTCGCGTTCCTCGTGTGCGATTCACTACATCTCCCCCTTTTCCCCGTAGTTCGCATACTTCCCCTCTCCCATGACTGTTTCTGGGCTTGTCTCGTTAACGAAGCCACGACCGCAATTGCCATCGTCTTCGAATGTTTTCTTCCGTAAACGCAAACGAAAATGTGCATGGTGATACCTACGGGATGATGGGGACTTTATAGGAGATGGTTACGGGGGCTGCCGGAACCCCTGTCTTGTCTCCTCCTAGTACTGTCTTGCTTCCCCCGTAATCTGACAACAACTGAGTTTGCACCCTGCCAGACGATCCGAAGCAATCTAGCGTGGGCTGTTGGTGTTTGGCACCGCTAAGCATCTTCGGCCAAGAGCCACGCAGAGGCCTAGTCAAACCGGGCCAATGGTGAACCATCTTGAACTATACTTTATACATGAGAGTGGGTGTCTGTGTATGTCAGGCAATTGTATGTACGTTAGCATGCAGAACCGTGCATGCGTTTGGTGATGGTGATGATGTTACTGCTGCGGGGTTTTGTTGGTCTGCTCTCGCGTTTGTGCGATGTCCCCATAGAGTATCTAACCCTGCAACCCGCCTCCTTCTGTTTGTGATACTTTGCAACTAAACGATCATCTACGGCCTGGTACTGTAATAAGGTTTCCGCCCGCAGTCCTTCTTGGCGGTTGCCTATCCAGTTTGATTTCATCGAGCATGTTGCCAACGGCTTTCAATCCGTGTAGATCATTGTCCTTATAACACTAACAACACCATAAGGAGACAAACAGATAAGAACTTATTAAAAGGTTTCACCTTCGCTGATAGCACTTGAGTTAATACAAAGAGTATCATATAGGAGACGGCATTTATTCCACGAAAACATTGCTTTTTGTAAGACGATTTTCTAAAAATTTTCGTTTTCTTAAAAATGTCATCAGAAAGTAGACACATTGAGGCTGGAAACAATTGCAATTAACCAACCCCATTATTAATAATTAGAGCATGGCGCAAATACACATTAAATAAATGCCGATAAATATGTTTTTTTGCCCGTCTTCCCATGGCCTGCGATCCCACGGTTGAGTTCAGACGAGTAGCAGCAGCGAGCATTAACATCAGCATGTCGCAAGCTATATGCTGGCTCGAAATTGCGACCGGCCGGCTCAGAATCCTGTTCATCTTTCTTGCAGCACATTTGCCCCAGCCTTCCGCTTACGGTTCCGTTAGTTAGCCTATTCGTTGCTGGGCAAAGCCGTTCGTGTGCGTCTTGTCGACTGCTGTTGCAGCTGTTGGTTTCTTTCGTCGACAAACGTTTCCGCACCCCCGAGTCATTAACCCTTAACAAGGCTAGCCGTCCACTGTAACCAGAGTTAGCATCCGGAGGTTACGCTATTAAGCCCAAACTAGACAGCGTGAAGGGGTAAACGATGCATCGGCTGCTCAAAGCATCATCACCGTCATCATCATCGATATTGTCAACAACAACAACAGACACAAGAAACTCGCTCTGACATATAGGCTCCTTGCGTAGATTCCCTGCGCACAACAAACAGGGAAGAAGGGAATAGGGCCGATTCGTAGGGTGATTTTTGTATGGTAACTCAGCTGCAAAGTTTTGCCTGCATTTGTGTATGTGTGTGTGTCAGTGAGTGTCTTGTTGGCAACCGGCAGCAGTAGAAAGAGGTGAAATGAACCCGCTAAATAAATTGTTTATAGGACGACGCGCAGTTCTAACACTGTGTGTTCCTGTTAGTGATTTGCGTGTGTATATGTCACGAACGTTACGAATCTTTGTCCCAGCACTGTGATTAACGTATCCGTCTTGGACCGGGTTACCAATACCAACAGTAACAATGAGTGGTAATAATATTGCAATCACTACAATCTTCATCGCACCCGGGCTCTGGGTAGATGGGTCAGTTCGCGTTCGTTTAAAACTCGGGACGCTTGACATCTTCAAGTGACTCGTGCGTCGAATCCCATTAGTTATTCTCTGTTTCCGATCCATCCCTCCAAGTGCTATTTTGTCTAAGCGAACGCAATGCGATGTTTTACTGTGGGTCTTCCTTCAGCTTTTGTTCAACGCTGGCGTTTACAGTCATGCCTTCACACTTCAACACTTTCGTCTAACACACAATCTATGTTTGTCACCATTCTCTTGAATCGCGACATTTTTTTTATGATTATATGTTTTTTTTTTCGCCAAGCTAGTAATTCGAAGTGGCGATAAACACAAAACAATTGGATCGTGAATTGTCTTATAGGAGTCCGCAATGAAAAGTTTTGAATTTCTTATTGATTTATGCAAAGAAGCGATTATAGATATGTTTATTCCGGAAAAGTCAGCAGTAGATGTTTTTGCGTGACACATGTGCGCCGATACAACCTACGTTTGTACAAAATTAACTGTATGTATTTTGAGAATAGTTAGGTTGACTGGTGTGTAAAAGCGAATGTTTTGAATCTTAACTCCCCGTTTGACATAAGATCTTGTTGCATAATTCGATTGTAATGTTTTTCTCATGCTGTTATCTTTTGGCCGCTTTTCTATTCTGCTGGTGAAGATTCTGACTGTGTAAAGTCCTCAGTTTCTTTGCGCTAGTGTTCAACATACACGTACCGGAAGCTTATGCGTATCCCCGCTTATAAAATAAACCAGTTATATTAACTGAGCATTATATGAATGGGAAGTGAAGTCACCGTGAGAATAATCTACTGCTACTCCCATCTTGCACAAGCAAGTCATCGAGGGCTGCTAGTCACCCTAGGATGATAACGCACTATATTAGGGCTTTTTCATTTTGACATTAACCCAGATGAAAATGATCATTCTAATTTATAATTATTGCAACTATTTGCTAACCCTCTATTAACTATTAGATGACAGTTATAGCAATTTGGCACGTTCTGAAGCATGTTCGAGTCCCTTCCGTCAAATTTCTTCCATCAACTACGTACTTGTTGCCCCGTTACTATTAATAAGCTTAAGCGAGTGCGCTTCTTATTTCCCTTGAGCATCTAAACCCTTAGATGGGATAGCCAACCCCCGTCAGTTGAGCCGTCAATCTGTCGAAAGTAAAAGCAATATTAAACCGCAGAGCTTCCCAACGCTGACGAAAGGGCTCGGTACATCGTTGGGGGGCGTTTCTACGCTAACTAACTATAACCAGCATTGCCTGGGGCTTTCTGAACCCTAGGGGGGACGTTCCACCGTCGAGACGCCGTGAATGTAAGTGGGCAAAGATGAAGAAATGCAATCATTGCACGAAGGTTAAGAACCAGGGACGCTTCCGGAGGTCACAATGATGAAGTTCGCGCAGGTGATAGACAAGTGTCTGAAGAGGATCACAATGCATGCAAATCTGAGGGTAGGATACATATATCTTACCTATGCAGAAATGCGAACCAAATTCGTCCTGGTGATTCTCGACCCCTCTTGAGATCCGTTGAAAGATCTTTAAAATCTCTTAAGGCCCCTAATCCAGGTCGTTTTTCTGAGAGAAACAAGCTTTTGAAATGTAATGCCAATAAAACTAGCTTATAAAACTTAGATAGAGTGAAAAGTTCGTGGCTGTCTAGGCGAAAGCAGTAGGGCCTGTCCCTTGACTTTATTGTTGTTCTCGTATGTTTTTAATAGAAACGCAGCTTACGCGACGAAGGCTAACGCGAGGTATGCGTTTGTTGATTCGATGCATGAACGAATCGAAAAAAAAAACGCGCGTTTAAGTAGATGCAGATGCACTCTGAAATTAGATGCATAATTGAATCTATTTAGTGATCTTTGTTTAATTTCCATAGTCCTTTGTTATTTGTTTAGGAGATTTAACCATACCGGAGACAAAAGATTACCGAAATCTTATCGAATCGTCATCTTCAACGGATCAGCCTTTGAAACCCGACCTTAATAGTCGGGTTCACAATACCGAGACGGAGCGAACTACAGCCAAGTCGCCCAACAGGACGTATGTCCGTACGCAGGAATCAACAAACGCCAATGGGGGTGGAAAACAAAACTCGACGAAAAAGGTGGCTGATTTAATGTCCTCATTTGAAAACTTAACCACATATATATTAGTATTAACCTGGTTGTCTTTTAATTAATATTTGAAATTGTTTGTTGTAAGATTAGGACATGCTTACATAGTCGTCCAGCATAGGTGAGCAAATATCAATTTTCAATTTTGCGTATGTCTTACAATAGGACCGGAAGAAAGGCACGGACACGACTTCTTCAAGAGGCACATTGAAGGTTGCTCGAAAGGTGGCTAGCGTTGGGGAAAGGACATGTTCAGAGAGTCACACACAAAAGGACTTGTACAACACGAGACGAGCGAAAACGAAGTCAACTCCTATGGGGGAGAAAGGCAATCAGCAGGTACGTACCGTAATAAAAGTTACTAAGAACTTAATGACAACGTCTAGTATGTGGCGTAGTGGTTACAACATTTTAGTCGGTTGTCAATCCAATGTAATACAAGGCGGCAGTTTAATTGTAATGTCACGAAGTCAATTACCATTCGCGTAGTACACATAAACTTTTGTTGCTTTTATCGAGTATTTAGGATTGGCATTAACATACACACATGTATGGGGCTCTGCTATGGAGATGTCAAAATGTTTCAAGTTAACTGTGTGGATATCCGGTTTTCTTTACGAAATCCCATTGAGCAGATCATGGTGCATTGTTTCGTTGTTAATAAATGCTTAGTTGACTCATAATTTTTCTCCTTTTTTCTTTCTTTCATTTCTTTTAATGTAAAACGAAAGATAAATTCACTCTATTGAGTTCATTCATAGCCCCTCGTATACCCCGACCGCCTAAAATATTACAATCTTTTAAAGTCACCTAGATTTACGATGTAAAATTATTTCATGAAAAAGCTAAAAACTTACTTATATAGCAATTAAAAGAAGAACGTTGAGATAAAGACTTTTTTTTAACTAAACGACATAGAGAAAGGGAGAGTATTTAAGAACGGCGAAGAGGTGGTGATCTGCTACAGGAATAAGCTGTGCGTTCTTGGGCATATGTTCTGGCATGTCGAAGTGTCCTACATGTAGCACTCGACTCGTCCAGTTCTTGCGAGACACACAGCGCCCAACGAGTATACGAAGGAGAATGGAAAACGGTACTAGTTTTGCTTGTAATATCGCTGTCAGATAGGTTGGCTGAACCAGCGATAGGATGCTTATTTAAAAACAATGCGATTTAACAATAAGTACTTTGTTTTGCTAGGTAAACGTGCTTAACGTTATTTTTCTTGACAGATCTATTTTTGTTGTTGTTGTGGTAACTGCTCGGTGCTAGAGGAGTTTTCAACCAAAATCAAACGGTTACATTAACCACACAAGTCTCTTACCGTATGTCAGTTAAGTCGTTTTTTTATTCGCAGAGCGACAATGATTCCTCTAGCCCTTCAACCTGGGCCAGCGGATCTACTGCGGAGGAACGCTGGAGCCGTAGTCCAAGCCCGCGAGAACACGAAGCCGAAGCAGGCCGGAACAACCGCGGTCCTCAGTCGTCAAGTTCAGATGCATTTTCCGCTGACGATGCAATCGATCAGCGACATCTGAACAAAGTACAGCCAAACACAACGAAAGCAGATAAAGCTAGTAGGATTATAGAAAATAAACCTTCTCGTCCTGATCCTGATGTGAGTCACTAACATCTTCGAAGAATATGTAGTACTGTATCAAAAAACATAGTGGTAAAATGCCCTGTTTTTGTCAGTGCGTGTCGATTAAAGGCTGACCGGTTGGTAGGCTTGTGGTGCCACACTCACTTTCCTTATATTCACAGTTCAAAATTCCAGATCATTCAAAGTCATATTTTTTTATCTTGCAATCTCCCTGTCGAGAATGACTTCAGCCGTTTTTGTCGAAAATCAAAACGAAATACTGAAAAGTATGTATCAGACTTCATGTTAAAAACGGAATCAAGTTGCAAATACTGCAGAAAGCGTTTGATGACCAAACTAAGAGTCAAAGTTCAGCGTACTGGTGGTAACGACGATTTCGTGACGAATGACGCGCCCTTGACGATGAATCTTGTTCTGGACGATTTGTCGCAATGAGTTTGCACAAGCGCGTAGGAAACACAGCATCGCCTGATAAGTTCAGCGAACATGCAGAAGAATTAGACAACTCGCACAAATTATACCGCACACTTTGAAAGATCGTTCTATAGATACTATATAACATAAAGACCAGTGTCTTATTATCACTAGTTATTTGTACTATGTTTTTCACGTTTTATATCTAGTACTTAGGCCGCTAAATATAATTTAAAACGGCTGGCTTCTACCAGCACAAAATGGAGCGTGCTTACGTACAAATTCAAGCTTAATACCACCATGTGTCGCTAGGCTTAACAGGCAAATAAATTGCCCACAGTGGTATCCCAGTGAAATGTTTGTATGGAATAGTCTTTGCTGAGAACTTATCGTTTTCCCAGACTGTCTTCTCGATACACCTTTTGCATCCATCCGAAAAACTACTATTACCACATCCCATCCATCTAAAGATATTACTATCTTTGGTTTTCTGCAGGAAGATTCATCGGTGGAATCGGACGTCGATTCTGGAGTTAGAACGGGCAAGCTATCAAGTGGTAATGCTTTGGTGTATTCAGTCATAGATAATGCCGACGGAGAGCGAACAGCAATTGCAGCAGCAGCAGAACTCGGCGACGCTGCAAACCACCGCCTTGAAGAAATGGGACTGGCTGAACTAGAGCAGAGAGCACGCGCTCTCAAAGCTTTAATGGCCAAACTCGAAAAAGATAAAACTGTAGAAGTTACTGGTTCTCAGCCAGCGCCAACAGATGCCCAGCATATTACAGAGGACAGCATGTTGTCGCAAAGCTCCGTTGGTGCTGTTAAAGAAAAAGTAAATAAGCACTTACAGCGTATGCTATTACAAATCGCTTATGTGATATTACATTTTGTAGCTTTGACTAAAACTTATGTAATTACTGTGAATATTTTTTGTTAGTTTTTTGACAAGAAGTCTCCGCTAATTTAATAGGCCTATACTAGATCTATGAGGGTAATATAAAAAAATAACTTTTATTGTTTTTGCATGTAATTAATGTACGTAGTTTCCTCCATTAGTTCAGATATCGATGCAATGCATTTTTTATTTTGTGAACGGCTTATTGTTCTTTGTATTTCATATCATGATAACAAAAAGCGTTTAATAAACATTTGATAAGTGCATCAATTCAGCCGATATACGCGTACAAATTGTATGGTCACTCAGTTTATAATTAATAAAACTATCTTTTGCTTCAGCAAATAGTAAAATTTATGGGATTTTCCTGTCATGGTATCAATCAATGTACAATTTCGTCATCAGTGACTACGAAAATGGCTGCCTCGCTGCGGTGGTAGACAGAGAAGCTTTCAGCAAAAACGGAAGCCGCATACCGCGTCGAAGACAGACCTAGACTAGGTCTGTAACTGTTCGGACAAATGAACATATCTCCGCAGCGAGTCATGAGCACGGCTGAAGGCCTGACTATGCCAATCTGTCGCTGTTGTTAGAAGCTCGGTCTTTCGGGAACAAGTTTATGTAAAATATGTGTCAAATCTGTTTCGTTACATTTATAAAGCTGGCTTAATTAAAGGTTAGTGAGCGAAATGAGTGGCTGGAATTTGCAGCCAAGATGATATCCCACGAACGACTGAACGCTAAGCTTTTCGATAAAATAGTGATCTCTGAAACGTCCATCTCTGTTGAACGCTTCTCTTTGACAATGGTAATACTAAGGCAGTAAGTAATAAAAAATTCGACGAGGCTGGTTCACTCGAAGGTAACGCGAGTCAAGGGAGACCACAAACAAGTCGAAGAAGTCACAACATTACTGCAGTGCAAAGCAGTTTGCTAAACTGCTTGTCTAGGAATATGGCTTGTCTAGGAACGGCCTGTAATGCATTTTGGGGCAACAGTTGTACCTGTATCCATACAGGATACACCGCCGATCCTATTCGCGAACGCACTTTCTCGCACGCGAAGGCAACTTTTCTAATCAGATCATCTATTCCAGTAAACCTAAGTTACAGCTGAACATTATCTCTAACAATATTTGAATGGCGGTATATTACGTTCTCAATAAAATGTCATGAAACCACATAAGTAATTGTCCGCTCTTTATTCTGGAGCTTCCTCGGTGTGATATACTGTTAGATATGAGATTGATGTCATGTTTAATAAAAAGGTCGCCTTCCAATTGCCATTAGAATAATTAATGCCGAGAGTATAGTAAACATTTGTTTTGAGAAACTCCTGTGGCCATTGTAAACTATCCACCAAGAAAACCTAACCTAAGCTATTATCCTAAAAAGTTTGGGACACAGTTCAGCCACGGCGACGAAACCCATTCAGATAAACCCTACTGTATGACACTTACTTGAGGGAAACGAAACTGGCTCACTGTATGATTCATTTCTGAATTTTATATTAGAATTAATCAAGACGCATAAATGTAAAGGCACGAAATATTAACTTAACATCATATAATAATAAACGATTCTAATTTTATGTTACACCTATTTGTCGAATCGTCATTATAATACTGTCGAAACGTTTAAACCCTACTTCAGTGTACTTGTACGGAAAGAAACCTGAATGTTAAGAAGTTTGCTGCTGTTCCCTTGCAGCTTCAAATTTTATTAAAAATCTAAAAACGGGTATTGGAAATGTCGCGTTGAGCATAGTACAATTTGACAGTTATTGCGCAATTACCTGAATTTTAAGGAACTTTTTATTTATCTTGTGGATATTTAGGAAAAGTCAGATGTCAACTCGCAGCAGGACCATAACAAGCCGGATGCTCCGACAAGCAAGGACTTGAAGTTCTCATCCTCAAAAATCGATCGTTCACGAAGATATACTGAAAAGAAAGGCCGAAAAAGCTCTTCTTCCCCTTCACAAAAACGTTCCCGGAAATGAACATAAGGATCACAGCGAAAAAAGAGGCGACTGGGAGAATCAAACTCGACCAGAAATTAGAGGGGATACCTATTCTGGATTGTTTCACTTGTAATCGCTGACGGATTGATGGAATTTCGACATTAATTAGCAATAGTTCTCTCTTCCATCGGATTCTGTTGTCTATATTTTCGCATCAGGTTTACACGTGATCTAATCCTCCTTAGCGTAGCTTCTTTACAATTTTCGCCTCATTTAGACTTATCGTTGGTGAAAGTTTATTTGCTACGATCTTTCACTTATTAATCATGATTCATTTGGTTCTCAATTCGTATATTTGTATTAGAAAAAAACATGCTTAGTTTGGATTCTTAGTAAAAATATATCAGTGATAGAGAAAAGATTCAAGGAGCGGAAAAAACTAAAAGGTCTCTTTCTAGAAACAAAAAAGGGAAAATAGCAGTCCAGGTAAATTATCACTTATATATAACGATCAAAACAGATTAATTTTTTTTTAATCTGAGAAAGCAGATAATAAATATTTAACGTATGCAATAATGCTTTCGTCTGTTTCTTATAACCATACTAGCTATCCAAAGTTTATTGTTATTTTTATTAGCGTTTTTATCATTGTTATTATTATTGTTATACCGATAACACCATCTTATTTTGTTTAAGACTTTGTTGCAGGAAAGAAGGCCAAGTTCGATCCTTATCTTAAGAGCCATTTTCTTATCTAAACACCAGTTTGCTCTGACTGATCATACTAAGAATTACTCCACCAAAGCAAAACCTCTTGACGTACATCTCCCATAAGACTTCATTAGCAGATAAATAACAATAGTTCTCTATTTAATGTGTCGCAGCTCAGATGCTGTACGTGAAATCTGTATATTGACCAAGATTTAATCATTTCTGATCGATTAAAAAAATATTTTCCATATCAATTCATTGGCGCAGTAATCGATTAAGCCCATTCTGATTACGTTATTTTACGTATTTGATTTGGTTTATTCATTATTCATAGGTAAGATATAATCGGTGACATGAGTTTTTGCCTCTTGCAAACAACACATCCTTCCTTGCTAATCGTTAATCGTTATATCGTTAATAAATATAAGCAGTTAAGTCAATTTAGATTAGCCTTTTTGAGGGTTCATAATCCTGGCTAAAAAACGTAATCAATTTAACAGAACGAAAAAAAACAACATATTAAGAGTACAATCTAACCGCCGAATCCTTCTAGTTATTAACCATTAGATATTTCAGCGACCTCAAGTAGCATGTTTTTACTCTATCACCTGTCAACACCAATAAGCGGATAATCAGCTATCGTCCAGATCTGAAACCACCAAATTACAAGTCTCTGAAGTAGCTCCAGAAAGATTAACCTATTTTTTAATACATACTTTGTTGATTTGTATAGATAATAGGTAAAAATGTTTAAGTGACTCACATTTAGAGGCGCATTACTTTATTCATTACGATTACTACGTTTACAATGCGTCTACTGTCTTTCAGTATTCACGCTTAGTTGAATAACAAGAAGCCTGACATAGCTTTTTGACTATATAAATCGAACTATATACATTTTGTTACATGTAGACTTGTCAGCATGTATGAGCTGGCTGAGCGCCAACACTTTCACAGAAGCGCCAGCCTTGATACACTATACTTTATTGGTAGAAGTACGCTTTCTTCTTCAAGAAATTAATAGTTAAGTATTATGCTAAATGTGATTCTGGTGCAAATTATATAGCTGCTTCACTGCTGACAAACTGAGAACAGCCAACAGGCCAATCAATGCCAACACCTTTAATAACTAGGAGATTCTGGGGCAACAACTGACTGTCGCAGCTACAACCAGTCGACCCATTTCCAGAAGCTTTCGTGTCACAAAGATCCCGTATAACCTCAACGGCAATGGTACTGTGATCTGTTTTCTGCTCAGTCTTGACTCACCTCTCTGGGCTATGTTTCTGGACTACTTGGCTGGTATCATTGGACAGTATTTTTGCAATATAGGCTTGACACAGTGTAATAGCTCTATTTATTATTATTGTTATCACATTAGCCCACAGGGTATCCACAGTCAACCGTTCACAGCCGAAATTTTTACGTGACTCTCATATCGATGATAACAGCTAATCCGCAAATCCAAAGAGGCTAATCTACCAAGTTTTTTTAATAGCTACTAATTATAATTAAACTAGCTCCCGACAGTTGGTGATATAAACGCATTTCGATATGTAGGTTTCGTATCATTACAGAATTCTACTATTAAACCGAGCCGAATCCATTTCTCTACGAAGGCAATAAACAGCACATCAACAGAGGTGAATAGTATTACAAGACTGATTCGGTTATTCACAAGAATAGTAGCTAACCACTGCTGTGGTTCTCCTGAAGTTTTGACAGATACGTGTCAAATCATGCTCATCGGTTTTCCATTTTTGTCTTCGGCGGCTTGAGTGCCTTCGATTTCCTTTTTTTGCTAAAGCTTTGCCACGAGCTGACTCGGCCTTCACGTGACTCCTCAAAGTTCTTCTGCCATTCTTGTTCTGCCTTCTTCGTGGCCTCGTCCTCCAATTCTTTTTCCCGCTTACGTTTGCGTTCCAACTAGAAATGTGAATTCAAAACATCAGAAAAATAATAGTAAGCACAAAATAATAGTAAAATTATGTACACGTCTGTAAAAAACACGAGAATCATATAATTTTTAGGTCGATTTACTTAGGCCCAATCATTAAGTTACCAGATACAGGTGCAGCAGATGTCAAATAATGGTAATAGCCTTAACTCAGCACTATTCTACATTCTAAAAATAATAAGTGAAGCTTTACTAAAAAGCAGAGCCCATGTGAAGATACAACGAATAATAGTACAAATCGACCCACTAAAAACACGACAAATACGAACAATACAAATACAAAAAGGAAGCAAGAAGAAATCAGCCGATTAAGAGATGCCAGCCATAAATGGCTAATCACATTCTTTTTACCTGATCTCGGTCCTCCTGTGCGCGACGCTTGCGTTCAAGTTCAGCAAACAATTTCGCAGTTTGCACGTATACTGCCTTCTTATATTGTTCTGGATCATCTTCTGGTATACGCTCGCCGCGAGCCTTCCGCCGCTTATCCGCTACCTGACCGTCATAATAATCGAGTTAGACGTAACTTAGATGGAAGTACAGACATCTGGTAACCTATATATCTTTAGATACATTTTGATCTATATCTATAATTGCGCAAAGAGCAAATCTATGATTTGGAGTAATTTTCGTTTAGAGGAAGCCTAAGCTTAAAAGCGAAATTTGCGTACTACTTAGCTCGTTGTATTAAATTTCACATTCAGCTAAGTCCTCTTTATTCTGTGATACACGCTTCATTGTTGACTGTAAAAGCATCCATAGAAAATTATAAAATCTTCACGATAAAGGAGTCCGAACCTGGGCATCTGTCATCTCCTTGGCCTCATTGACTATGGCGAGAGCCTTCGTACGCATCGAGTCATCCTTGAGAGCTTCGTTCGCCTTCCTTACAACGTCAAACGCCATCTGCGCGCGCTCTTTGTTGTCTGGATTCTTATCCGGATGAAGCAGAATCGATAGTTGCCGATAGCGTTTTTTAATATCGTCCATAGTCGAGCTAGGGTCAAGCTAACGCACGTGAAAGTTCGCCAACAAAAACACACATTATAAATAAGCTTTTAATTTTTGTTTTTCTCGTTGTTGAATATTAAATGTGTGCATTTCAATATGAAAATTATGTAACAAACTGTAGTCAAAGATATGTCCTACCGCCACAGCACCTCTTATGCTGAAATAGTATTTGCTAAATGATTTTTCTTTTCTTTTTTTGAACGGATAATACCCATATACGTAGTACACACCTGAAAGCAATAGGAAAACAGAGAACTCAGCTGCGCTTTCAACACAGTTTTGAAGTAACCTCAGAATACATAATACCCTAAATACACCCACCTACACATACCTGTAGTACTTCAAAAGGATTTAAATTGAAGTAGGTAGACCCCGGCCGTAGAAGACGCTCAATCTGACCAGCCGATGTCAACACCTCATCGCGTTTTGCGATTTCTTTTACTTCGCTCATAAACTGTGATAAAGCAACGTCGCCGCCGAAACTAATCCCAGCACTTGCGGCCGGTCCCGGCATCTGGTTGTACACTGGATGTGGAAGAGCTGCAGGCGGCTGAGGGGGTACAGGCGGCGGTGGAGGCGGGGGTGGATAAACTGAATAACCCCCCGGGAGACCCGGATGGCCAGGGTACCCTGGTCCGCCACCGCCGTAGTAAGCCATTATGCTTGGTTTGGTTACACCTAAATGTTCTACAAAAAACAACAACGGAAAGAAAATGCAAAGTCGTTAGGCTGTTGTGGACTAATCCAGCGGGCTTTGATACTGAATAATTTTTACGCGCCGCTAGCAGACGAAGTTGAGTGAAAACCGATTGCGCTTAGTATAGAATAGCTAAGTTCAGAAGAAAAAATATCTTTAAGCCACTAAAATCGACGCTCAAGAGTCAAGCTTTTCTTCCTCGAAGTCACATCGCGAAAATTCACCGAAGATTACTGAAGACATTAGAAAAGAAGCTTTTTAGCGAAAGCATAGTACGTGAGTAATGCCAACGTTTCAAGACATGAGACTAGAGTATTGAAAAAGATCAACGAGGAGGTAACAAGATGTTAAAACTAAAAGCAAAAACCGATTACCGCAATCGTGGTTTTTCACGAAAGCAAAGCATAGAGTCTAAAGCGATGACCGGCATTTCACATGTCACGTGTTACAAAATTCATAGCCTAAGCATTAAAAATTCGGAACATGAGCAAGCAATGGGTTCCTCATGAATTGTCTCTTGGCCAGTTAGAAACACGTGTCGTGTATTCCGCCTGCAATTTGAGGAACTTCGACTAACAATACATTCGCCTAAAGCATACAGTCACCATAGGAGAGGCATGGTTCAATTTCGACTGCCATTTGGAGAGGGTCCAGGTAATAGCATGGCGTCGTTCTAAGAGGAAATTGAGCTTGGTGGCACTGTCGAGTAAGACTGAGAGATGGCAGTACTTAGAATGGATATCAGTGGCACCTACTATAGTAAAATACTCGCCGAAAATGGAACCATGACTGTAGTTCGCTATCTCAAAGGACTAGTTCCTCAATAATCGACTCATGGACCATTGGCATAATAATCGAAAGCACGCAATCTGGTTACTTGATTTCAATGTCAGATTTCATCATTAACTTCAATGACTTCCGAATTATCCGAAGTCTGGCTGATTACAGGGCATTCCATGCGCTAAAAAGAACAACATACAGACACGTGAAATACATGATTGTCCAAAGGCTGCCAGAACACCAAGGCATGTGTATGAGGATTAAGTATTCCAGTACATATTACAACTCATTATTCTAGCCCAATAGTTCAAAGGTTATTTTGTTTCCCAATTTGACGTCTGAGTGCTTTTATCAATAGGCTTCTTTTTTATATTGAAATTATCTTTAATGGTCTCGACTCATCTATGCGCTACATCCTATCTGATACTCGAACAACGATCAAAATACAAAACTTCTCAGTATCTGCACTCTGAGAATAGAATAAATAATAATAATAATAGGAGGATAATTTAACCCTTTATAACATTTACTGAATTAAGCTTTAACCTAAATTAAATTACGTTGGAAATCGATTATACGCAAATGACCACTGAAATCTCGTTGTTCTTAAAAAAAAAAAATCCTATTTTTAACGAGGACTTCACATACGAACATACCATTCATTCACCGATAAATATGTGCATTGCTCGGATGTGACTTGCAATGCCCATATTAGTTCTTAGCTGGTCATTGGACGTATAGTATATTTTGTAAGCAGTTCTTTAAAACGTCATTATACATATGCTGAATCTAGCTAGAATAAACTATATATGTATTTATGTATGACTTTCGTTTTCTATTTTTCGTAATTCCATATAAAAACTATATTAATATAAAACAGCTTCTACTTTACGAATACTTACTAGAACATCTAATTACGAGCTGTCGCATAACAATAAAAAAAGAAAACGTTCGTTTGAAACCTCATCACAGTTGCCGTTGAACGATTCTTCACATATATCTATATCTACAAGCGATGAGCTAATTGACCGAACACATATTTTAACATTTACGAAATTGCACTTCTCGCATAAACGGCTCGCACGGCCAAATCTCTAACCGAAAAAAGCCAGTCATCACAAATTCGTACGCCGCCAACGACATGTACTGCACGGTTGGTATAATTAAATGAAGAAACGATTATCTAACAATTCAACTGTGTTTATTACCCTACCTGTGGTGGGTTGAGAGATAGAAGAGTGATTCAGCTGCAGAAACTATTGGCTATTGCTATTAGTACGGAACGAAAAATGCACAGTCTTCTAGTTCGCAGTTATATGTAGTAGCACTCAACACGGCAAGACCACACTCGACTTACTGATTCACATAGACCACAGCTGTGTACTTTTCCAAGCAATTCCAACTACTGGCTTACTATAACATTTCACTAAACGAAATAAATAACGTCAGCCACAACAACCGGAGTCTTTATGAATGATCCGCATCCGGCTGCATCATAACAATGAAAGAGTCCGACTGCCGGTGGATATCCGTGAGATAACCGCGCGAATTCCGTTAGATAGAAGGGAGAACCTGACATTAATGTGAAACCATTCGATTGGACCTAACGAACACGAATAAATTGTTTAAAGGGAGTAGAATTGACATTTGCATAAGTACATGTAATAAACGCATTAAATATCTTATCTTTTAGAGTTCTGTTAGAAAAATGCGGACTGACTCGAAAGCAATAAACGCGCATAATGCTTTCTTCAACACTGTTGGTAGATTACTACGGAAAAAATGCGTTTTTTTTTTCTATACAGATGACGTAGTATGTGTCACAGCGAAGGAAAGAGGTGAAAGAGAACATTGATAAAAAAAGATTTGACTAAATTTAGGAGTTTGCAGCGTGTAAACAAAACTCGTCAGTCCGATCGTTAGGTAGAACGGTTTATTATCAACTTTTGTACCAGCACAGTTGTTACCAGTGTTTTTAACATACTCAAAAATTCTAGATCATCACAAATATGGTAGACATTATGATGTTACGATAGAAGTTGTTTAGCATATGACATAAAGAGATTCCCCCATGACTTGTCTCTGTGATAAGTGCAGTGCTAATATATTCGCCTATTTAGGAATAGGTAGTGCTCCAGGTTAGGCATAGGCACTTTTATCCAGCCGTAAGCAGAGATGTCTACTGGCTAACGTATAGGACGTATATTTGGAAATTTGCAGTAATTTTCGACTACACTGTACTAACTAGTTCGTTCGCCAAAAGATGTCGTATCTTTAAGTTGATGTCATTTTCGATTTGTAATTATATCTCATAAATTAAGACAATTGTTAACCGTTTCATATATAACCTTAGTAAGTCATGTGTAAAAATGGAACTGAGATTTCAGATAAATTGCTATGTCAGCTTTTCTTTCTATGTACAGTATTTTTATGACATTTGTAAAAAAAAAATCTATTATTCGTAATGTAAATCTCCCCACGGTGTTTTTATTTTCACTCAAAATACTCTAAGGTGCAGTAAACATTGATTCTTAATCCCTCAGGGTGAAATTAAATTTCGCGCCACGCCAAACCCCGAAGCATTGGTTTGTCTACAGACAATGCTCTCGGTGGTACGACTAAACATGTCACATCTCCTAACTCATGCGTTTGGAATCCAGAATAACAAGCAAAGAGTAGAAGATTTCACCAAAAATCCTTCGCGAATGAAATAAAGGCTTAAAATAGCTAAACAGCGGGGTGAGTCTTCACAGAAGAAGTCCCCATGAAATATTTAGATACAGATTCAAAACAAGAAAGAATTAATATAGATTTGAATTACACAATTTTAGCTCTAGTAATGGTTAAATAAGTAGAGTAAATTAGCCATCACTACAACTGAGCAAAATAAGTGTTGCACGTTACGTATTTCGAAGTCGAGCAATTTTGGTCGATACAAATTCGCGAATCCCGCAGTTTTTCTAAGACATAAAACGGCAATGAGACTGCCAATGCTAACTATACTAAAAACACCTGTCCTAAAAGTACATTTTAGCCTATGAGTACATTTTGAAGATAGCACCAAGTTATCTTCAAGCTGTATATTGAAACTCGTATAAAAACACTCGAGTTATCGTAACTTGTGGACACATTTTTGACAACATTATCGTTCCTAATGATTTGGGCTTTCGTGAACTTTTTTTTCGAATGTAGTTCATTTCTGCAACTTTCTATGGCGGTCTTGTATCCTAATGGTCGTACACAGGTAAGATAAGAAGAAACACATCAAATATGATATAGAAAAATGCGTCTAAAATACATTGAATACAGACGGTTGTTGTTGTTAGATTCTGTCCTCAGGAGACTAGAGCAAATATACATAATTGTATAGTATAGAAACGTGCATATAAGAAATTTTTTTTAGTTCTAGTTTCATATAGTGTTGTATGTGTTCATAGCAAGCCTTGAATAAGCCACTATGACTTTTCTAGTTAAATTAAACATAAATTGGTTTATGTTACACGTAAAAGCTGTTTCGGTAAAAAAAAATTCATACAAAAGTTGAAAACCGGCGGGAATTTTACCATAGCCAAAGATAAACGCCTGGAAAATGGAAAAATTACCTCCGGTAATTTCATTTGAACTTTCCCGCCTAACGGCCCGTTCATGGCAATTTTGAATTTTCACGCGAATCTCAAAGAACCAATCAGCGTTCGACAACGGTGCTTTCTGCTTGGAGCTGGCAGCGGCTACTGCTCCGGACAAAATTCGAACACGAACGTGTCATTTGACTGGCGGTGGGCACCGGCTTTGTTACTCCGAATTAGGGGTCCATTTATGGTATCGTGTCAGCGTTCTTCATTGTAGTGTGTAGTTTGTGGGCCGTGACAGAAGCTTTAGGCTACCCCAACGCAAGAGAGGCTTACTTTAAAAGCCTCTCTTGCGTTTTCTTTTGGCCGGTAGTGCCGTAATTGGAAGTAGTGTCTTGGCTTGGCCGTCTTTGCTATGTTTGTGCGGAGTTGGCGAACTCGAACGAGTCCAGCCATGCAGAAGACTATTCTCAATCTCCTAGCAGCCCTGTTGGCCTTAGCGGTGTCCAGTAGCACAGCTCTCAAAGAGGGAGATTGTGAAGGTAAGCCTAAACTAAACGAATAGCATGGCCCCGATTGTTTAACGGTGTTCACATGGCAATCGATGTTTGTAGAAGCTAGAGAAGATTCTAGAGAATGAGCTTTGAAATTTCATTGTGTCTGTGATTGTGGTTAGCAGTGGCCACGCTTTTAGCTGGGTATTTATCAAAACTAGGTGTAAAATGCATGGAATACCTCAATAGCATGTTGAGTTTAATCAAAATACATTGGAGAATAGATCTCGAACATACCTATACGAAGACAGCTGAGGGCTGCTCAGCTGGTGAGGTTGTTTATTCGAATACCGAAAGTGTCTACCGTCCACCGCAATATTGCAAAAAGTTTTGGCGGAAAAACCCAGTTTCAGCCGTAATAGCCTTTCTGAAGTTCTATACCACGCTGCACAATACAGGTTTTCTTTTGCTACGGTGTACGGTACACATCATATGATGGCTCCAAATGTGTTATAATCTGAAGAATATCTACTTAGTGCTGATAGTCCACGTTCTGTTAAAAATTTCTGCAACATGGCAGCATGCTTGTGTAGGTACACGTGTACCTGGCGGCCATTTATTTAGCAGTAACAGGAAACTCGGCGCCTAATGACCTGTCTTGTCTTTCCTTTCTTAAGTTTTCCATGATTTAGGAAGTGCTATTATCTGCTAATGTCATTTATTACACAATACACATTAATAATCAACGGCCTTGCGAAAGGTGAACTATATATATATGTAGGACGTATAGTTACTTCGCTTATAAACTGGTGAATGCGACGGATAGGAAATGTTCAAACGTTTTCCTCTCGTATGCGGAAATCGATAAGCTCTAATACATACGACCATATTATGTAATCAGAGGTATAATATGAAGGAAGACGAATATAAGGGTCCGAGTGTGATCGATGCTCGTTTCTAATAAGAGAACATGACGTTTACAATGTCTAAGCTGGGTTTCTATAGAGAAATTGAGCGTTTACAGAAGCTTTGATCTGGTGTCAATTGCCTCTAAGGCTTAGTAGGCTATTTTTGCTTTCGCAATGATATGAACAGCGTCATATAATAAGGCATCGTAATGCACAATACAGTACAATAAGGCATTGAATGTCGATTTTAATGGCGCTGTTGCATATTATAGGTAAAATAGCTTTGCGTATTCAATGATACCTTTCAGTTGTAATCGTTGTATACATACATTCGATGGCTAGAAAATGACCGTATATTCGCTTTTGGTTATATTAAGCTCTAGCTTAGACAGGGTATCATTAAAGGCATTCCAACGATTATAACACATCTACCACCGTCGAATCTGATTTCAAATGACCTTTAACGCCGAGCCGACGCATTTTGCTTTAAGTTTTTCTATTTACTTAGAACTTGGTTGATAACGCAATAGAAGTATACAATAATACGTCCGACAATCCGATAACATAGTTTTCACCTATTAGCTCTTGTGTGGCCCATACTATTTTTGATGATTCTTCTCGTCTAAGGTTCTTAAATATGGGATTACTCGGTGTCAGTTTATATTTTTCATTTTTATATTTATATTTGCCCCTCACTGATGAAAATTTGATTCGTCTCCTATGTCATTTTTGCTGATCATATATACTGACTCTCAATTCCAGTCTGTGTCGGCGTAATCGACAAGCTCAGTAACCTTTTGGAGCCCGAAGAGAAGACTAACATGGACGCAATTGAAGCGAAGTTTCGTGACTTTTGCGAAAATACAGCCAAAAAACAGGATCATCGCTTCTGTTACTACGTTGGCGGACTTGAAGAATCGGCAACAAAAATAGTTGGCGAACTCTCGAAACCGATGAGCTGGGGAATGCCTCCGTTAAAGATCTGTGAAAAGCTGATGAAAAAGGACGCCCAAATTTGCGATCTTCGATACGGTGGGTATTTCTGCTAAGCATCTATTGTTAGATTTGTTTAATCATACTTGTCATATAGTATATATCGTTAGGAGCACTTGAATAGGCGATTCCAGCTGAAGATTTTCTCATCCAAAGATGTAGCCGTCAGTTCGATTTTAGCTTTGAAATGCTAGTACCAGTTAGGGTAGTTTAAAACGGGTGACTCTAATGACAAATATTGATAACAGTGCGTACCGTATTGTTATGTCGTGATCCAATGAGGTTTTGACCGACTTGATGTTAGTACAAAACTCTTGCTGTACTTGTTAGAATCCTTCGGGCGTGATGTTATATGTTTACTGATATGTCCATATGGCTCTGTCCGTGTGCAAGCTTTCTATAACAACAGCAACAGAACTATACAACCAGATGGTTCCCAGGAATTCGTATCACAGACTGGCTTGATTTATCTATCGTCACGTCAAAATCTGCCAACGCTGGTCTCCGGTCTCAGCAGCTCAGCGGGATTCTCCATATTATCTGATTACTATTTCCGCCTTCTTTACGGTTATTGTTGTTCTCCAAGTAAGCTTATGGTCTCGTGAACGGCTGATTTGCACCATTCTAGTTATAGCAATACGTCTTAATGTTGTATCCGTGGCCATTTTGTGTTTCAGTAGAAGGCTAGTGAGACGATTAGCAGTTTTTAATAGTGTGCGCTGTGACAGCCCCGATTTGTTCAGTTCAGTGTGTTCGGTAAATGCACAATGATGGAGATGATGATGCTGCAATCAAGGATAAGGATAGAGAGAAAGTGAGATTGTGTGTTATTATCTATTTATGATAATAGTAATTAATTAATGCAGAGCGGATATCCATAGCATATGGTATATGCTGTCTCAGGGAAGTCCAGAACGGCCGTGGTTCGATCATCCGTTGAGACTGCTATCAGCTGAAACTTAATTCGTCGGAGTTAAATAATGACCGTTTTTTGCATTATTATGTAGAGATATGGTTTACAGGTCCGTTTTTGTCGGTTTCCGATAAACCGAATTTTGTATGAATTTGATTTGATATAGATATCACAGGCATATTTTTTCCCTAAAACATATCTCAAGATTTAATGTATTAATAATACATTTGATAATAATAATACCTAATAAATTATGTAGAATATATTACGCACAAAGGCGTATGCATATATAAATATCTCGTATCGTTTGTTTTTTTACAACTTTGATAATTTTAGAGAAAACGATTGACTTGAAAACTGTGGACATCAAGAAGCTGAAGATCCGTGATCTAAGGAAGATTCTGTCGGATTTCGATGATCCGTGCGATGGCTGCGTCGAAAAGTCTGAGTTTGTCAAGAAGGTTGAATCCATTCGCGATCTTCAGGCTAAGCAGGAGCTCTAAGTTCCCACCCCATTAGCTACCCAAGCCCACAAGCAATGCAATAGGCACTGAAAATCATAGTAAATGAACTGAAACAGTAGTTAAACCGCGGGGGCGAGTTGTCTCGCGGCTTTTCAAGTTGTTCAAGTTGATTACAGCCTGGTTACAGTAAATGTTTTCCCGATATACGCATCTACCCCGTTATGCTCAATGATTTGGAAAAGCTTCCACATGAAAGTACATTGGCCGGGACCATCTTTAGAACAACCTAGATCTACAAATAGAAAAACGTTATTGTATTATATATGCGTTAGAAAAAGGGTTTGGGGACACTATGAGGATAAATAAGGATACATATACTATCTTCGGGTTGCATTTTTGAGAGTGAGCTACGCTGCGTGAAAGAACAGAGCTTTCACTCTGTTAAAACTTTAGGATCTAATCCAAGCGAAAAAAAAACCAACGGGGAAACATTGGATTGAGGATGCGTACAATAAGGCAGATATAGCGTGACAATGAGATCGTATAGGTGTACGAAGAAACGAAAGGGAGTCGTTAATGTATATTGAAATTTGCCCGCGCGACCCGCTGTGTAAAGGCACTTTTTTAGTTTTTTAGGAATGTCGATGATTGCCCTCATGGCGACGCTTGCATGGGTTAGATGTATATTTATTCTAATTATATATAAATGATAATAAACAAAAAAAAAGCAAGCAAAGTGGTGATAAGTACATGCAAAAATGGTGGCGAATTCTAAGAAAAGATAGGAGGACAAAAAAACGAAAAATAAAATGTAAGAAAATAACGAAAATAGTGAAAAATAATAAAAACGAGTACGTTCCGATGGTATTGTTATCAGGTCTGTTCAATTATTTGCTCATTTATTTTACGTATTCAAACGTGTCGTTGTCTATATTAGTTTTCACCTGCTAATATGTTAATAAGTTCAGAATGCCAGTTCAGCACCCTTCGAGGTTTCGAAGCTCTTCCAAGTTGTTGACGGGTATTAGAGCGATTCGTTCGATAAACTTTTAGAATAGATCGATCACTTCTGAATGCCAATTTTGCACCCTTTGAGGTTTCGAAGCTTTTCCAAGTTCACGGGATATATAACGGGATAAACTTTTGGAATAGTCAGAAAATATAGGTTATGAGGGAAGAGCGGTCGCCATGCGTTGATAACAGTTGTTGGATGCTGCGACGTTAATCAACTTCAGTCTTTAGTGTCAAAACTCGCAACATTAGTTATGATAGATATGAAAATTTCACAACAACGTAGACATTTAATTATTGCGTAATTAAACGTATAAAAATATACTTAGCCTTGTTCACCACTTTTTTAGATAAATTGACTTTGCACTTCGTTCAGAACATTCCATGTGGCTAACTATATGGAGTAGCAATGACGCACTGTGCTGAGGGTAATATGTTTAGGGACAGAATATGGAATAATGATCTCCTAAATTTGCAGTAAAAGTGAAAGGTACAAATTCTTCGATTGCATTGTTTAAACGTTTCCTCCTCTGAATAGTGAGATTATAAGAAGTTTGCTCTTTGAAACAATGGTCCTTGCGTCCGTCCTACATTACATAAACTAATATTTCGTGCCACTCATCGTTAGACATAGATTACACTAGACGACTGACTCGCAGTACAAGTATTGCTTACGAAGCATTGTCAAGCATACGCAGTATGTGTCCGGAAAAGACCAAGACCCCTTACCATCATGGAATCGTTTTTTTAATGACAACGCCAGCTCATTGCTATTGATATTTTAAGCAGGTTTTTGCTTTGGAGAAATTGTACACCACACACGTAACGAGCTGCTGTGCTACGGCATTTGTTTTTGAATTTCGCGGGGTTTCATCGTAGGAGTTATTGAGCTATTTCTCGAGTTCTACAGCATTTGTCTCACTCTGTCTTTGGCCATCGTCCCATTTTAGTGGCTTACTAAACGATGCGAACTGATGCAATAGCATAATTAAAATAACTAAACAAAAGAATTTAGGCGCTTGATTGACGCGCCTCGGGTACCTGAGGCGTCTTGCAATTTATGCCTTTGAAGTCTCCATAAAGACTCCATTAGGATTATCTGCCGGTGTGCACCTAAATAAATCTTTGGGGTTTTACAGCCGAAGCTACTGCTTCAGCTAAGCACTGTACCAGACGCCGGGCTTCTTCCAGCAGGAAAAATATATAAAAAAAAAAGCAAAAAAAAAAGGTCTTTACGCCCGGTTTCCAATCTAAATCCTACTCACCTACTAAGTCTTAAGGTTACGTAGGAAAACAAGTTTGTGCTAGCATATAATCTCACGGAGATAAGTGGGTACACACCTGTGTGCTTCGAATACCCCGTCACTTCCTTAAAATTCAGCTGTTTAACAAGGTTCTGCTTCACCTGCCCTTTCCTATACTCGGCAGCGGATCAATACCCTTTCCCACCTACTTCCTGGTACAGATGAGAGTAGCCTCTCTGGCCCTTAGCACCCGCGCTCCGACTGTGTTCTGCTTGCCTTTCCCTTGACAACCCTCCTATTACAAAAGCAGTCGCTCTGTGAGGTTGGAGCATGTCCCCCCGTATCGGAGCGCCTATGGTAGCCTATCCATTTCTTTTTCAAAGGGCCCCAACCATAGACCCCCCGCTAAGAGTTGACCGCCTGTCCAACTCACAAGTTTCGAACACTTATATGGCATAAGGCACAGGTTTGTCATGATTCCGTAGAATGTTTGTGGTGGTGTAAATCAGTGCGGGTTAATATTTTCTTTGTGTAGAAGGGTTGAGTGTGAATGGGATTCGTGATGGTGAGGTTCGTCATCCCTAGTTAAATCAGCGCTACAAAACGACTGGACTCTCGTCGGTTCTGATGCAATTGTGATAATCCTTCAGTGGTTTTGTGCTTCAACGCTACTACAGTAGCGGTATAAATTAATTGCGGCTTCTGCTTTGCCAATGCACACTAAATGTGAGTATAGGCAAGCAACTGAGCGATAAAAAACAAAAGGACTGATGCAATCTGCTACAAAGATTAAGAGCATATAAGTACTACATTTGCGGTTCGGCCAGGTACTCGTTATATATATTTTCTTTCTAATGCAAAATAAAGGCTGTTATTACTAACAAATCTAAATCCTAATACCTATTATGGTAAGGCACACATGGCGTTGTGTATATGTTCGGCTGCGAAGTTGCGGTGGACCCGTAGTACTGTGCGACGTCAAGGGCAGAGTTACGACAAAATAAACCTACCGATGCAGTGTCGGACTAATGTACCTATTAAGGTATAGACTTACAATTCTGGCGCACATAGAGAAAACATTTAGTCGAAGTCATGCTTGTACAGTATTAATAGACCAAACCTAATAGATAGACCGGGGTATGCTAGCTACAGCCCAACTGCAAATGCCTCAGAAGTTTTTGATACAGATAAATGGATGGACATTACAGATTATACCCCGCACAGTTTCATATGTCTAAAACGATGGAAATCGTTCGTTAACCGTACCATCTATGAATAGTTACAACGAGACTGTTGTGTAAAAGAGATCTACTATCAGCGCACAATAGACCTTGCAATAGAAAAGACAATAGAAACGCAAATATTTTAGGCATTGCTATCCCACATGATCTGATATTTTATTTTATATATAGTTGTTATAAACCAAGTGAGCTTAATAAGTACAGAGTTTGTAAGAACATGCTACTAGGCAGTGAAAAATGACAAATAGTGTTTGATCAAATATAGGTACTGGATCCGACTATTGTAGGAATACATACTTTTAAGAGTTATCAATGCTCTTCGATCAACGCTCTTTTTGCATATTAGATTTTAATAAGAGGACTTTTTCGTTGTTTACTTTTTGCAAATATGTATAAAGAACGATCATGTCTAGTACTACAAAGCCTCGCAAATCAATATTAGAGGAACGCTGCACTGTTAAAAACGACTACTTGAGAAAAAGGAAAAAAAAAAGAGAAAAACAACATTCACAAATCGTAGAAGACTATTTAGACATTTGTTATATTATTCAATCAGGAGCGGCTTACGGTACCCCCGCGCATCAGAAACCTTTAATGGGAAAACCGGCTGCGACATCGAGCTGCGCCAAAACAGAAAGACGCCTACTTTACGTCGCTGACATAACAATATCAGGGAATATATCGTCGGTTACGTAATATATATATATATATATATATATATATATATATATATATATATATATATATCAAGTACTACGTCAGAACCCGGGCAAACGTTGTCATAGCGCGCATTCGCCTATTCATTCTTAGTGCATAAAGAAAGTCAGCTCTTTCCAAAACTGAACTACACACTCATCATTGTGGATGCAAGAGATCCATCTTGAGAATATCAGCTATGATCGGCCACTGTTCCATGTTTTTATACCGAATAAATTTCCACGAAGATTATCATCTTTTCCGCTTACTCAAAAATCGACAGTCCGCAATGTTTTCAGTCTTCATTCGGCCTCCGCAAAAATACGAGGAAGATTTCATGAAAGCAAAACAAGAAATCTGGGGGAAAACAAGAAGGGCTAAAAACTTAATTAAAATGGCGCCAAAGAACATTTCCTACAATCTTGAATTTCTTATATTAAACTTAGCTGTTGTTTTTGCGTTTTAAGCGTTAGTTTCGTTCGGACCTTTTGTGCTTTCTCCCAGCTTTCGAAATATGTGCTTGTTTTGGGTACTTGTATTGTACTTTTAGGAATTCTAACATGCTATTCACTCCAAATCAAATTTCGCTGGACTTCTTTGTATACAAAGCGTCTCAGCAAGGTTGCAATGAGTCGACTCTTTCGTTTGGTATCGCTCTACGTGCGATGGCTATCCAGTAAGTCATTTGTGGAATAGGCAATATTCTTGAGGTTTTAATGATGTCGTTGCTCTCGCACCTGAAAATAAGATAATTTAAAGATATGAAACTATTCAATACAATGCAAAATGATAAGAAATTACATGGAAAACAAACAAGTATATATAATCTTAAAAGCTATTTTATTGCAATAACTAAAAAAGCAAAAAGCAAAAATAAATAATAATAAAAAAAGCAATAATTTTTAACATTTTGTAAAGTTTGGACTACAGACAGACATGGCAAAAGCTTGATTTGCGCAGTTAAGAACCTGAACGCAGTAGTTCAATCGTCCTTTTCTAATACGCGTATATAGTATATGTTCCAATGGGTCTCAGCAGAGTGTGAATAACTTTGATCGACAGGAACGCGAGAACGGATCTTTGTCAATTACGACCCGATTTCTAGAATTGTATATGGTATATATATACTCGATATTGTATATGGCTAAAACGCATAAGAGAACTGAACGTTTATATCCATATAATTTTTTTTTAACCAATTCAAAAAACCTTCGGTCGATTTTAGTGATTGCGTATGTGGTTTGTGTACCTGTACTTTCTAGCGTTGATGATAAAGGTCATAGTAGAATTATTGGTAAAAAGCGGGTTTATATTTTTATATTTTGGACTGAAATCTACCCGACCCTGGTACTAATATTGTTGTCTAACTCGACTTTATTTCTCGAAGAGTGTTCTTACCTACTAGGCAGAGAAACGTTGCCTCTTTATCACTTAGCACGTTTTTAAATAACGGTGACAATTTTCTACTTCAAGCCCCGACTGGGAAAGGGCATATAGGATCCCTCGCCTCCGCGGGCGAGAATGTGTGAAGAGCCGGCATCGTCCTGCGTAGAAGGAAATTTTAGAAGGCCCTAGTAGTGAGAGAAATTCATACAGAAGACTCGTTCTGTCGATCACTTTTCTGCGTGTTTCTCCTCTGAGGTCTCGTCGAAACGATAGTGTCTTGTTATGGAAATATTCCTTGAATTTTGGCCTATTGTGAATCCGGCACCACCCATTGCTACATCCATGTGAGTCATTCTTACAAGGGTCGTTAGAAGAATACGCATGTGAATTTGATCTTTCAGTCACCGTAACTAAGTTGTACTTCGTTATATTATGGAACGCCGTTTCCTCTAGCAGTTGCTTTTTTGATAAAAGCGTTTAACTAATAGTTGTTCAGCATGTTTTCAAACCCAAAAAACAGCTCCATCTAAAAACGTGTGTTTATGACGAATTACTAACTAAGCTTTAAAATATCACCTAGTTTATCCCAGAAGAGCAGTTCCTAAGAAAGTTCCTTAGTTATCTTAGGATTCTTGCTGTAATAGTAGACGATCATATGCATCCAACAGCGAACAAACTGTAATAATCGCCGAAATAATCGCCTGAAAAATCATTCTGCGATTACGTTTGCTATTTGATCGATGAAATGCTCCAGCTATTGCAATATTTTGAGTGAACGTAGAGCTTTTCCCGTCGCGGTTAGGTTTATCCTTTCTGTCTAGCTACCCTATCTATTAAGCCCCACACGCAAACGTCTAATAGGCCTACAAATCCAACATTCTATCTAATAAAGCCGCATGTATGAAATCGACTTTCATATATCAGTTGCCGTATTAAACAATTTCGCTGTTTTATGTTAAGGGTCAGAATTTTAATTTGATTTTAGCTAGCGCTCTATTAGCTGGTCAACCACTGCTAGAAATGGCGCGACATTTTCGCTTGGATTTTCATCTTTGCTATAACATATTCGCAATCTATCTCTCGATGTTTAAACGAAAACTGTTTTTTTTCTGTTCAGGAATGTTGTGGTCACTACGTTGTACTCTCACTCAAAGAGGAAGACCTAATACCAGTTGAAATGAAAGGTGCAAATATTCGAGCTACCTAGATTTCCGTAAAAGTCCTTCGTGTCGGGTGAATCCTATTTTACGTAGGTTCAACAATATTCATAAGTATTCGACAAGAACGTGTATCCGAAGCACAATTTAGATTCAACCCAAACAACCCGTTGTGATGGTCTCAAGAAGCAGATAATTTACTTAATGATAAAGTCTACCCAAGCAGTTCGCTTTATTTATATATATATATATATATATATATACTTGTAGTGAGAAGGAAATAACGTAAATATGCATTAGGTCAGATAGCCAGTTCACGATCTATTTCACATTGAATGTATAGAACAATTACTGAAGCTTATGATTAGGATGTCCTACATGGACCTTGTATAGAAGTAAACGATAAACGTACCGTATTATGACATCTACTACGTACTATGACACTGGTGAGTCTACTTGTGCTACAGCTTAGTAGTATTCCTTATAATTTTGGATGTTTTAACATACACACTGGATTAATTATAAAGGATAAATAGAATTAGAATGGATGAACAAGTCATAAGATGCTTTAAGACCAGTAAACGGTCACCGATAAGCTCTCCTTTGAATGTTACACAGTCTACAACAAATCGTTCACTCTACGGGAGAAAATTCAGATATAACGGGAACATTTCTCTTACATCAATTTAGTGTAGCGTATTTCCCTGCTTTATAAAGCAGATCAAGCATAACGCGTGCTTGAACTTTGTCGGCTATTCGTGATTGTCTATTCTACGCGCACACTATTAGACTAGGCTGTCTGTTACATGTTCATTGTCCACGCTGAATAATTAAGTGTCACATCAATTCACGAAGTGATGGCGATAACAGGCACTGTCACAAATGCGGATCTAAGCTAAACCAGAGCTAATCAATAAGAGCCATGCACTACCGTATGTTGTCACTGGTTACTTGTCTGAATTTTCTCCGTGTCCTCAATCGGACACACAATGTTTCATGTCGTTTCAGGTTGTAGCCCAACCGTGAACTAGACTATCAATAGGTTCACCCTACTAGCTAGACATTGATGCTTGAATTCTAGTAAGAACGTTCCCACTGCTCGAAGTGAAGGCTAAAACGGCTATTCATAGCGGAACTAATTCGCACGTATATAATATAGAGGCGAAGTCTCCTGCCACGCATCTGTTCAAGCGATGTATATAGTATCTGTTGTTTATTTCCATCGTTCATAAAGCGGCTTCCTGTAACAAGCGTTATTCTGTGATAGATTGGTTTGCGTTTGGCCACCCTTACGCTAGTGCCAAGTAGCAGTCTCATAGCATGACCTAATGGAACTACACACACAAGCCCCCATTTGAGTTAGGGGCATCAAGTCTAACCTTTTCGTATAAATTACTCGTATTAATTCGTAAAGATTCGAAAATAGTTTGTTAACATTGATAAAAGTGATACAACGTCCTGGATGGAGTCATCGACAGTAGCAAAGTCCTACCCGAAAAGTAGCGATGATACTAGTACGTCTGCCGTCTATATGTCGCTTTGCTGGAACGCCGAACCTGTCGAGCGTAACTTATAGATTTCTCGTGAATTTTACCTACTGAAGACAATGCGCAAATGATAATGGTACATAAAATCACTGCTGTGCATAAAAATACGCAACGTTCATGTAATGTATATATGCAACAATTCACAGAGTACAGTATGTTGATAAGTAAGTGCTTGCAGCGGATACGGCGGGCTACGTTAGATAGCAATTGGTGTCAGTAAGAACTTGACGAACCTAAACAATAACACACTGGTTCTCAAACAAGGCACAGATGGCTCATAGTTTCCAGCGATATTTACCGCGGTTCGAGCAGATTTGGGCGCATTTGCATCTTCTAGTTTTTTTTTTTTCGAGCATTTTGCCATCGTTTTTCAGGCGTAGACAATTAATGATAAAATTATTTTATAATGATGGTTATCCATATTATTCATATCTTATTAATACTGGTCATGCATACGCTAGTGTGCGATTCGTATTTGTCGCGTTAGCGACATCACCGAAAGTAACTGGAATCGAAACTTCTCAATGGCGGTGATAATTCAGCAGGTCTCAGCATCCAGTTCCGGCTCTCCGTGTTAATTTTCGGTGTCGATTTGTCGACGTCTGAAAGGAGAAAATTAGATTAAAGTTCTGACCATGGAACACAATAAACTTAGCGAAACTGAGGCAAAAGCACAGGACAAATACGCCGTCGTAGCGTCATATCAATAAAGTCATCGTTTCTATTGTCTTCGACGGAGCCAGTTTTCTTACGAGATCATTACTATTAATTATCTGCTGGTTCTATCCTAATACTGAAATATCGTTTGCTAAAATTGGGGCATTGGACATAATTGTTGCTTTGGGCTCGAGACATGCGGTACACCGTCGATAGGCCTAATAATTAAGGTGTAAACAAATGTATTGATTGCTTTAATCCTTATCGGCTGTATCGCACACGTCTAGATGCTCACCGTAAGATTCTGTTAGCTGAAGGGTTAGTTCTCGCGAAGCTGTTCTCTTTCACGAGTCGATGCTTTCCGTGCCCGTCAGTTTTGTTTTCCTATAATTCGAGTTTTTGGCGAATTTCCTGGATGATCTCGTTTCTTGTAGCATCCGTTTTTGCTCGGTCCTCTTTGAGTTTATTGTTCTTGTTTTTTTGAGTAGAAGGTGACAAAAGGTGCTCTTTCTCGGTCTTTCTTACGCGCTCATCATCATTATTACTGACGACTGTGAGCAAGTGTGCGGGAGATACAAAATGTCCTTATTTATTATACGGTGAATTACCAACTTAGATTTTGTTATTCATTGTTTGTTTATGTAGTCGATAAATTTTGCAGATCGTTTTAATTAAATTCGTTTGTTTTATTTGTTTTTTCTTGCTTAGGTATGAACGCTCGCGGTGCAGTGTAAGTGCTTGACACTTTTATGTAAGGTTCGGTTGAATAAGAATTTTCTGTTGAGTTCATTAGAAAAGTAAAGACTACATTTATCCGCTCCAGCGTGAACTGAGAATATTAAACGTGCAATTTCCTAATATACGTTTCAGCGAATCCCACTGTAAAGATTAAATGATTTCAATAGTCCATTAGTAAAGTCAGAGTTCGGTTCAGAATTCAGCAAACGGTCCTAGAGCACCGTTTTACGTGTCTAAGAAAGTTACTGTTTGTCAAAGATTCGCTCGCCACGTGATATCCAACATGGGTTTCTCTGCTTAGGATCTATGAGGTTGAGTTATCTCTTCAGAATCACAAACAAATCGTCAACACACTCACCGTACCAAACCACAACTCCACTTAAGAGAAGACTTAGATATAGCACAACCACACAACAAACGGCAGCGAAGACGTAAGGAGGAATAGATGTGTAATAGTGAAGTTCATTTCCAGTGTCTTTACTGACTTTTGAGTATTGGATAATTCGGCGAATAGTGTTCATATTGTCGGGCACCTTCTTAGCTATCTCCTTTGCCTGCAGTATGTGCAGGGTGTCTGTAATTTGGTCCTTCATGTTTGATCTTAAGGAACGACACGGGTTCTTCTTAAGCAAGTACCTTCCTCTTCGTTATTATGGTTGAAAAAATGACTAACGGACAATCTTCCTTTTCGAGCACGCTTCGCGGGACTACGGCAACTAAGATCTCTGTCGATTACAGAGTCGTTGCTCCAGTTATAAATGGTTGATTCTCACCTATTTAAACCCCTTACTACTGTTGAACATTGGCTTGGCTTGGCTTGGCTTGTTGCTGTTAGATTTAACACGAAATTTTAGGGTAAGATGGCACAATCCGTTTGGTTCGGACACAGACAAGGCGACCTTTGCTTGAAACGGTCAGTTTGACTGCAAAATTATTTACTTGTTCTCACGAAGGGCTGTGTAGATCTTGCTCTCATGTATACATATTTACTGCTTGGTACAAATCTATTTTATTTTATTATTTCAACGCCTTCTCTTGTCCTGGAAACAGAGGTTTCGTTATCTTTTGGTAAATAACCGCTAAGTAGGTTTCATACGAGTTCTCCTTCGATGGACGAAGTTCATTCTAATGCGTGAATTAGTGTCTAGTATGTTGTCCTTGGGAATAGATTAGATTGCCTACGCCATAGGCTGAGCTACTACAGATGACGAAACTATAGTAACTGAACTTGTGAACCTACAGAGATAGCACAAGTCTAGTAATGTAGGACCTGCGTAGCAGGTCTATTTTCGAAAGACAAACGCATCGCGAATTCGCATTGGTCAAACTTTAGCATCACTGCTCAGAAAGTGTGTGATACATAAAATAGAGCATGAAAACAAATGATAGCTCATGCCAGACCCTATATCGCGGGTGCATGCTATTGCAAATGTCCAATACAATGTCCAGAGGAGAATCCGATTGCATATTAATGAAGCGAGGCTTTTTATTGGCTTCATCTACCTCTGGTTCCTGTCTGATCAAAACAGTATCAGCCTCATATTGATCATTATTTTTCATCGCCGTCACGAAGATAACTGAAACAGATGGACGAAGAGTAGAGAGGCGTGACCATATGAAAGAGCCTAGATATTTCAATGCAAAAGCAACGAAGGTGCCCTGTGACATTCAGATCATATAATAATCATATTTAGCATTTGCCATTCGTCAACTTTATATGCACTCGTAACTATCTCGTTTCTACCAAGCGATAATCTCCTCAGTAGATATTATTTTTTGACGAGTCCGTTAATCTTGTTGATTTGACTACCATATTCAGTTCGAGAGACGAAAAGGCCACAGAGAAACTTGAAAAATCTTGCCATGTTCCAAACCAGATTACCCTGGACTTGTCCATAAAACCTCATGTTTGTTCTATAGAATACCGTCACCCCCAGTAATACGATTCGCGGTGCAAATAAAGCTAGCAAATAGTCTGACTGGCTTTATTTGATGAAATATAAACTCAATAACACTAAATTCTACATGGTCAACTTTTGTGGATTGCTATCATTCATCACTATCATTACGACTGTTACAATTGTCATCACGATTTCGCTTACAGAATGTACAGCTCCGGTTGTCAGCTCTATTCATTAGGGGACGAAGCGTTCTCGCCAGCGACAGGACCCGGATGCGGGGAATCCGACAACGTCGAGCTTCCTGGATTCCTTTTCGGCTCGAGCGCACCCAACAACTGTGTCCCACCGCCAGACGCACTGGTAGCAGCATCGGCGTCAACGGTAACGGTGACGCCGCGTCTCACGACAACGCCAAGCTCTGCAATGGCCGTAGACGCCCAAGCGGCCGTAGCAGCAGCAGGTCGTAACCATCCGGCCGATGCCCATCTATCCCAGAGTCTCGTTGGCACCACAGCTGCTCCAGCTATCGTTCAGCATTCGCCAGCGATCATTTCAAGTGCGTCAGCTATCTTCGCTGGAGCAAGCGGACAGCATCAGTTGGACACGACTGGCACGCATAATCCGTCTTCAACAATAGCAGCGGCCACAACCGTAGCCACGGCACGTCTACAGCAGATACAACATGTCACAAATGAGCCACAGAAGGCAACCGGCTCGATGACGGCGAGCGGGGTCGCAGACAGAACAGAGACCACGCAGCTGGAACATCAACACCGGCATCAACAACATCAAATACACCATCAAACTCAACATCCACCTCATGATCACCAGCTGCATCACCATCGGGCACATTTCGTACAACAGTCACGGACGACACACCATCAGCAACAACTTCAGCAGATCACACCGGCATTACCTCTTAGGTAAATTGTAGAGCAAAGCTTTAGGTGAGGTATTTCAAGAAATGTGCGTTTTTTTTTTTTTTTTTTTACAAATATAGTCTTATATTTGATTTAACAACATATAGCATATAAGAGACAATTTATAATAATAGTAATAATGTTATGTACCAATAATCAGTGTGCTTCCTGCTGTTTCCAATATGCTTGTTTAGTATTATGGGTTATTCATTCTATGTGAACAAATCGGAATTACTTATATTTAGGTACAACGTCAAAGACATGCCCCCATCAGAAGTCTAACAACGTTGGGCCTTGCCAAACTTCTCTGGGGTTTCTTCCGCAAATTTGTAAAATATCTTATTTTTTCTTTGTTGCTTATTTCCTCGATCACTAAGATCCGATAATAATTTTTGCCAGCGCTAAAATTTGAACCAGCATGGTAACATGCTTGTTAACTATGGTTACCATAGCAACGCGAGAACTACTAATTAACTACCTGGATCATACCATCTCACTTCTTATGGCCTTGATTGCGATCAAAGGCAGCTTGCCGAGGTAAATGGACGTTAGATCGATTTTGAATCAAACAGGCAGGTGTTGCACAAGTTTGAATGAGAAATGCGTGTCGTCCACGGAAGTAACTAGGTCAGAGTATAATGAACTGCTTATTGCTCTTGCAGTAAACTCTATACTGTACGTGCAGTAAGTTCTATACTGTACGAACTTCCCATAGACTTACGTTATGGGCCGCAGTGAAACTATAGATACATTGTCTGTATGAAATACATGGGTCGGACCGAACCCTTTATTCCATGATGTACTAATCTTCAACGGAAATCAATAGTTCGAAAAGAATTGCGCGTTGAATCAATAACCATGCACTGGGATGAATTTACCTGCTGAACACTCAAGGCAAAGAGGGGAGGCAACTAATCATGGCAGGAACTTCTAACAGAATCGGTGGATCTGAACTAGCCCTATACACCAAAAAGGTACAGCTTTCGGCATAATGTCACAGCATCAGTATTCGAATAGTGACACAAAGAACACGTAGTGAATTCATGCAGTGAGAGGTCTTTTTTACAAAAGTGAAAATAATCGGGAATATCTGTACGTGGACACATGTTGACTATACTGCACAGTAGTAAAACCCTTTAGCCTCCTTCTGAAGTTGTGCCACTGTCAGGAAATAATGTCGCCATCTCATTGTATCACAGTGATTCGCTTCTAAATCGTCGTAGAGTTAAATGAGAGATAAACTGAATAGATAGCCACACAAGTCGTATTGTAACAGGCTTGAAGTCGTCGTGACGCCCTCATCGATAATTCCCATGAATATTGAAAAATCAGCAAACGAATATGCAGTGGTAACGTGGTTACCTCAACTTAACGACATAAGAGGTAGTCTGGGTTCAAAACCGGACGTGGACGCACTTTGTTGCCTATTGGAAGCAGTCAGCCGCCCACAGCAAGTACCGCATAAGTAAGGCTCGAAGCATTTTATAAGTAGACAAACGTGATAGTGCCATAGGATACGATGACATATATCGCAGTTGACATATAGTCAAGGGCTCGGTCCAACCTAACACCCAAAGTGCGCCATGGTGAGCGAGAGAAAAATCGATTCTTTGTTAAACTGTATATATACATATATATTTATAATATATATACATATATATATATATATACATATATATATATATATATGTATATATATATATATATATATATATATATATATATATATATGTATATAATGTAAACTAATCAAATTTTTGTTGAATATTAAGCTATTAAAGTGAGTTAAATTTCCGCGTATCGAGGAAGTACGTGTATTGTAGAAATGCTAGGTGGACATCAGATCGTTTTTCTGGGGGATTACTTTTGTATAGATTCTTCTATCGATCGTAATTACTATCAGGTTACAATACCCGGTAGATCTGCGCCGATTAGCCAAAAACTTTCGCAAAACAAATGGATAACACTTTATAATATTATATAGTCTGTAACAGGATAGTTTAGCTCAGGCAATATGTTTGTATGTTGATGCGAACGATTGAATTTTATGATAAATATTGTCATCATTGCACTTAAGTTGATGACGTGAACAACGTTACGCTTCGTTCTGTTTGTTTTTTTTTTGTAGCTCTAAAAAAGATCCCGTAAAGCTACTGACCGGCTCCCGTACGAAGAGATATTCAGGTCCCTTGCCTTACCGACCACGACGAACAAAGGTTGACAAATCTGACCATCACTGCAAGATCTGCGATAAATACTACTCAAATCGGAAGCAGTTGCGTAAGCATGTAAACAGCTTTCATCCAGAGGAGCCATTTGAGATGACCTGTACGTATTGCGACATCAGAAGTCTCATAGACTATTATTTGAAATAATTAGTCCATTGTTTACGTGAGCCTCCTTTTTTCCCCATTAGTGGGTCAACGTAGAGGTCATAGTTACGAGCTGCTTGTGACGACGTTATCGATCAACCATTGTCAGAGTGATCTTTGAGGAAAACCTTGTTTACATAAGTTCACAGATAATATTTAAAGACTGACTGACTTACAACAACGCTGGTACGACAGCTCGAAGTAGCGAACCGATTGATCGCGTGTGATTTATAGCTAGTTTAGAAAGAACTGGTGCCGATGCCGAGTAGCTTTATTAGAATGGCTGCACTTTACTCAGTTCACATTTCTAACATTAGATTTTTCCTTGTAAAATGACGTGATTGATTGGTTACCTCCGCTCGTCACCCACAAAATAAGGCATAATGTTGTACAGATGGTGAAAATTTTACGCGTTTTATCTGTGACCGAGTTACTTACTGTTCGCAGTGTCTATCATCATTTCTGAACGGCTTTATTCTGCTATAGCTATTTTATTGACACCCCGTTAGTTCTGCTAAAGCTGAAGGATCTTAGTGCTAACGAGCGTATGCTTAGAAACTGCAGTCGTCTATATCGAAGCTTGTTACCTAGAGACCTTATTGAAAACTGCCAATGGAAAGAGCTTTTCTTCTGAGACTAAATATGCTCGCTATCAGTCAACGTTGCATAAACTTCCAGAGAATTATTCACCTCTGTAGCCCCCCGCCGCCGCAGCTGCCCCAGGCGACTCCCTGTCAACGTTTTAAAAAGCTATGAAATACACAGTGTGACAGTTGTGCGACAGCTTCGACTAGTTGTGGGCTGTGAGAAGCGGTTCCTGTATGCCCGTCTTCGATTTGCATAGGTTCAGCACGTCAGTGCAACACATATTTACACACTTAGTCACAGGTCTATGCGGAGACCAAGTTAATAATCCCTGATCTATCAGTGACGGGTTGAGCTAATATCAGCAAGAGTTTTGATGGCAGTGGCAATGTCTGGTTGCGTAAAAAAAATTTCACAGAAAATGCTTAAATATTTTGTCATCGTTGACTTCGACCTAGCAGGCAACGTTGCTACACACACGCAAAGTGGGCTTAGAGATTAGCTGTACAAAGCTCTGCGGTGATAATTTTTCAGCGTAACATTGTTTTGTTACAGCGAAGAACCTCAACCTCGATCGAGTCAACTGGTGCCTCGAGAAGGGTTGCGACTTTCGTCACGACCGAAACCATATCTTCACGAAGCATCTTGAAGAAAAGCACCGCATCGTTGCGGAGAGGATCGATCGCAAGTTCAACACTTTCGCTGAATATGAGCGGTACGTCAATAAGAACGGACGGTTTGTGACGGTTACATGATGTATGCCTGCTCCTACAGCGATTAAATGGTCTCGTCAGCGTCTGGCTGTTTAATAAGGATAATAGAATGTCTGCATCCGAGAAAATCAATAGCAAAGGTGAAACACGATAGAGTTATACCATTGTATCTATTTTGCCGCAGTCGAACGAACGAACGAACGTATTTTTCCTTTGTTTTGCTAATCTATTAAACACCCTTTACTGGATAAAAATTTCAGAAACATTTTGTATCACACGAACGATAAACCCAATAGTTTCTGCAGTAATAAACACTACATCATCAAAAACACTTTCGATAAAGCTGGCCAGGTCAAACAATTACAATTTCATCACTAAACGAATTTAAAAGTGCTATTCAATATACTGCGAACGCAAAAAATACTCGTACCTAAATGGTGTACAGCAAATCATTGGTCTGCTGTCCGCCTGTAGGGGTTCCGTCAGTGATAGATGTAAACGCCTGATGTTTACAACATTACACAACCGACTAAATTGAACGACTTGGTGTTTTGTTAGGCACAAGGAAATCCAAAAATGACTGTGGCAAACGAAAAAAAAGACCATGTAGCATTTATTAACTGCTACGTTCATTGAGGCACCTTCAGCATGATGCGCAGCTTTTGTGCACACTTCAACTTACCGTAACGGTTTTCGTGAAGACTGTTCAGGCGAATAGTTTTCCTGCATTTTTAGGATTATTCACCTTTACGTCAATCATACATTTCTACTTATGAACGATTAATGTATTCCAAACTGAATCTTGACGCGCGTGTCGCTGTTCGGATTCGACTGATAACAGATGGAAGACCGAGATCGAAGAATCACAAAAGATCAAGTTCGTTGCCGGCGATGGCTATTATTGGCGATTAACGAAAGATGGCCGACGAGTTAGTCGGCAGCATTTGTTCTGTCATAAAGCCAAGGAATTCAACACGGTCGGAAAAAAGGTCACCCTTCGAATGGAAGGCCACACCGAAGACGAAATCGAACGGCTTGTCAAACCCACGTGGAATAAGATCACCGAAAGCCTAGCTAAAGAGACCCAGGCTAAGAAAAGTAAGAAATTTAGGTTTTTCCTTTTAGCATCTAATTAGCACGAAATGGGGGTCCTTCTTTAGGCGAGGCCGCTTTGAGCGAATAGTGCCAATTGCAATTGTCGGTGTACTGTGCCATCTTGGCAGTCAGTCAGTCAGTCAGTCAGTTACTAAGTTTACTCAGACGGATTCTGCTATTTGCAGATTTATTAGCACATCGTAACAACAGCGTTGCGGTCAACGGAGCCGATGATAATTCAAGCGAGAAAGAAGAAAATATCGAAGTCGCAGTTGACGAGATGGAGGTAACTAAATGAAAACGAGATTATTCTATGTCGTGATATTAATAATAGTGGAAGTTACGCTTACCGTACTTTCACTTACTCTTAACACAATTAGGCCAAGTGCGGACGTAGAATCTTGGTTGTGTCAAATTCTTATGGGTGACTCTGATCTTGGACGGCGCAAATAAGTCGACACGATTTTGAAGTTACAGATTTGTCAAGAGGGTGGCTAGTATCAGTAAGAACAAACGTTGACCTAGGAAAATGCTCCACCTACCAGTTTAGTTATACCTGGTCTTCTTATATCCCACTGTATTTATTTTTCGCCTTGTTGTGTTTTTGCAATGCGCCCGTTTGCAACATTAATTGTAATTGACCACAGGTAATTCGGCGCCTCGTACCCGGTAAACAGAACCTGATCAAGACTGCGCGGACAAACTCGAAGGGCGGCTGCTTCCTGTTTAGCCAATGCACAGCATACCTGCACGTGACGATCTTCGAACACGATCGGAGCGTGCACGTAGATGGCTGTCTTTCACATTATGGTCACGATCCCGTGCTGGAGCATGACATTTTCGACCTTCCCGAAAGTGTCGTATCAAAGATAAAACAGAGATTTGTAATGGGGCATTCACTGGAAGAGGTACGGTGCTTTGCGGCCAACCAATGGCCGCATTTCTGTCTAAAGGACGGCGCACTCGAGGGCATTCGCGACCGAAACCTCCGTCGTATCCTATTCAAACAGTACTACGCGCCATTCACCAATATTTTTGAAAGAGTTGTTGATATCAGTCGAACCATAAATCAATTCTATTATGTAGAACCGGAGGGCATACTCGTTACACTCCTTAACATTGAGCACACGTTGCATGACCTGCACAAACAACTTGTGAAAAAGGTCAACGAAAAGGTGTACCCAAAGTACAAACCGGAAAAGGTCTTTCGAGACTCGCCGGTCGATATTCAGCAAGTTCTTGAAACGTTGTCGATGCAGCAGAACTTCAGTCATTTCAAGCGATTGGTCAGGTACTCGGAACACCATAAAGCGTTCTACATGAACCATAAGATAACGAAGGATAACCTTCAGTGCGTTAGTGAGTTTGACATGGCACTCGCGGACGATGGCTATCGTTGTTTTGAACTCGACGAAGACAATAAGCGGTCAGGAGACGAGCAAATTCGGCGAAAACGAAGGGACTTATCAGTTGGTGAAGATGATTCATCGAATTCGTTAGAGAAGGCCCCGTTCCAGACGAGAATTGTTTCGAAGGTGTGTAGCGTGTAAGATGGTTTCGGTGAATTCCTTCCTTGAAGGTTTAACGTATTCCAAGAAATGTAGCTTTCTCGTATTTCATATATATAATGTGTTAAGTGTCTGCAATTGACAGTTTCAGCAAAAAGGTAAACTTATGCCTGATTGAATTGATTCATTTAAGAAACAAGGAATGCCTAATAAAAGCATTATTTAATTTATTATCGTTCGAACCAGAGTACCGCTTGAATCTATTCTAATTGTCCTTAGTCTTTCTCACGGGAATGCTTGCCTATAAAAAAATAAGACGCCTAATTTTAGGCGTTTTATTTTATCCCTACCTAAACTTTTTCAGTAACGTTATATGACATAAAGTAGGCTTTGCTAGTAGTTTGATCTACCTCCTGTGACGCGTACCAGTCAACTTCTGTATTAATACGAATTTTCAGGATGCTGGCCCTGACGAATCGATCGAGGACCTAACTATGAGTTCACAAATTACCGCATCTGTGCCAGCTCCATTATGTTCTACAGCCGGACCTTCAATCATAGAGCTCAATCCAACTTTAAACGTATCTCTGCCAAATTTTAACACCGCTATCGATCAGGACCGTACCAACCGCCACAGTGGAACCTTATCTACGGATGTCATTCAAGATCAAAGCCATTATCATCAGCGGGATCATCGGCAAGTGTATGACCATCACCTTCACCCGCAGCAACGGCATCAGTCGTGCGAGATCCACTTCATGGACACTTCGGTTCCAGTTTCGGCCTTACCAAGCTTTAGCACCTCGACAACAAGTAATTCGACCGCAGCCGAACATGACACAAAGAAGTCATCTTTCAACGAGTTCCTTCAGCGCGCAGCCGAAGCGACCCATCATGGTGAAGACCAGAAGCAGGGGCACGCTCCGACCCAGCAAAAGGAGCAGCAACGAGGGATTATCAGTGACACTCAATGTCTGCATAACCATCAAGTATCTTTTTCCGCTGAAGATGAGAGTCTGACACTGTCCCATCTACCCGAATTTCTGCCAAAATCTCCGATCGAAGTTGGGAACGCCGCAAAAGCAGATATTTCATTAGCAGTTTCGTCCGCAGTGCAGCTAGCTACGTCAGTTCCAACCGGAGGGGACTCAGCCAACGCGACCGCTGCTGCCCACATATCGACAGTGGACTTGTCTACGTACCTGACGCTTGGGGCGCCGTTTGGAGCGCCTGATAGCGATAATGAGGCTGGGAATGAGGGTGATCTCATGTTGAGTTTCGACCATTTGTTCGGTCTGAGAACGCCACAAAGCTGAGGCAGCCGGTACTCTAACGGACTAAGTGAGTGCAGTGAAAAGTGACACTTTTATTGTTGGATAAATATGATTCGCTAGCTGAAGAAAAGTTCGGAAATCCGGAAGTACAGAACTATAGATAAAATGTCAAATGTGTCATAAGCGAGAAGTTTTTTTCTTACCTATTTTTGGGCTCCTGACAATGTCATGAATGGTAAGGTGGTGATTGGCCCGAGACTTTGATTGGTTGGGATGTTAGTGAATTCACTTCTTGCCTTTGTTTTTTAATTTGTAGATTTTTGGTTATTAAAGAGGCGATCTTGTTTTTTAACCGTTAAAGGAAGCGTTGCCATTTAAGGACCACACATTTACAGTAGGGCGCAAGCACTTTTTCATAGGTGGTCCACATGCGTTTAGGATTTTTTAAAAACGCTGCTCCACACATATCGATAATCACCATGCGGCTCTGTTGCTATTAGTGTATTTTATTATATGTTGCATCATTTCATGTAGTTATTATTTAACCGACTCCATTTTTCTTTGTTATCGCAGATGGTGATCCTGTAGAATGTGAAATGCTTAGAGTTACACAGAGAACACATGGAAGTGTTCGAACTCATTTGAATACGCGCACCCTGATGCACCTTGAGCAACCGGATGAACGATACAGGAATAAATCGAGCCTAATTATTTGCTAGTAACCTCACAAGAATGAAACTTTACCACTAATTCATTATATTGGTTACAAACAGTTTGAGTGCGAAGGAGATGCTCGATTAGCTCTCAGCTGAAACGACCGCTGTCCCCCGCGTGAGATCTTAAAGGGAAGCCCCGAAGGGGTTTCAATTCTGATTCGCACGTGCCGCTACAACGAACTGGATTCTCGATAGCTGCGAACCCATTAGCGCATTACAAATGGGCTATGCCTCTACGAGCTCTCGTGTATACTAAACCTCCTACCATTCTGCGAAAAAATTAGCCGAAACCCGCTGTGAAAGCAGCTGACGGCGCGTTACTCTGATGTGAGTTGTTGGTTATTAATGTCACCTGACAACTGTAAATAGTTTCGTTGACGAAGCTGATGGGCTACATGACCTTTCCCATTACATAATCTTTGTGTCAGACCTTATTATATTTAGGAATACATTACAAGTAACAGTATTTAATCCGGAAACGCTTTAGGTAGTGTCCTAATGTATATATATACAGGGTGTCCAAAAAGATATGCACTGTTTATTGGGTTCCAAAGTTGTGTATATATTATAATCAATGGTCCAAGATTAACCTTTCAACACAAACAATTCATTCCAAGGGACCCTCCAAGAGAGAGAGAGAGAGAGAGAGAGAGAGAGAGAGAGAGAAGAAGACTATTTTGCGGATAGGACCTGGGAAAAATGAACAAAACGTATTGGTATCGACAGAGGTTGTCTGAAGCCATAACGCTACATTTAAATCAAACGGCATAAATAGGCATGATTGACATTCGACTTACAAAACGATGATAAATCTACATCTGTTACGCAGGAAAATCATGGAAGTTTACCAAGAGTTAGTGTGGTGCAACATTTCAAGCAAGGATTTATATGGGCCATCGTCTTTTCACAATTTAGTTACATGAATTTGATGCAATAATCTCTTTTCTTACGCATCTTTAGGGATTTTGGAGAAAATGGCGAATCTTATTACCAACAAGACGGAGCACCTGCACCGTATTATCGTGATGTAGGAACCTATCTCGATGAGAGCCTTCTAAACGGAGATGACGTTTGAACGAACAGGCCCCGAAGGACCCCAGCTGGCTGTTGTTCAGACCTGGGTGCAAATGGGCTTTTTCGTGCGGACGCCTTAAAAATGAAATCTACACCAGAAAACTGACAACACTGGGATATGGAAAAATCCAAAACGAGCAATAACATGTCGTAGCACCAAATTAACCGTTTGTTGGAATTTGGAAAGCTATACATATCACCTAGACTCTTTCGGAATTGAAGTATTAATTATATGTAAAAAAGTTATTCAAATTGAGAATACGCTTTTTGAGGTACCCTGTCCGTATCAATATTTATAAATAAAAAAATGTAAAAAGAAAAAACACAATACAATAGTAAAAAAAGGTTTCATTGTGCTGCTTATCGAAAAACACGTAGGGCAAAATATGCAATAGGCTAGAGTTGATTTTTACAGGAGAAGAAAGTCGAGTTCGTTGAAGTACGATCTCGTCACTTTATCTTATCGCCAGCCAATGAATGTAAACGACATACTTTTTCCCATTGTCATTACATGAGGGCAACTACTCAATTGGTTCGCTCTTCGGAGTAGACCTTTTCCGAATCCTACGTACAGAACGCGTTAAAAGGTTGGAGTAATTTTCCTGCACGACGTTTACACGCACTTGCTATGCACCATGAAAGGAAAACTTTGCTACCAATAGAGAGACAGCGGTTTTCAGTCTCACGCTTAGTCATTGATTAGACAAGGAGCGCTTAGCCCATTTAATATTGGGTCGACCGAATATAATACCCAGTTAGTGTGCAACACTGGTTAGTAAATATCATGAGAGATAGTATAAAAACACCACATCTATAATCTTCCTTATTAACTAATTGTCAGAATGACCAAAGCCAAAACGGCTATCCGTTCTTGGTCTGACGATTCTAGCTTTGAAGGCCTTGCAACAAGATTGTAGTAGAAAATGATAGTAGTACAGATACAGAGATTGATATAATATTCGCTTGAATAAAATACGACCAGGAAGTAGTAACTGTGTTGACACAATGTCAATTAATTCGTACAATTTAATGCAACTTCATCAGATACGGTCCTGCTAACATGTTTAGCTGCAAGCTTCCACGTAAAATTTCGGGCCTTAGCTAAGGACATTTTTTTTTTTGAAAATTATCGACTCTCCGACATCGTTTTCTCATAAAGGATCTGGTTAGGGTAAACGAAAATTGTGTCAATAGCATACTTTGTCTAATTATCGGCTCTGTTATTGAAAGGAGTGCCAGTTGTTTCTCGACAATATCGAGTGTCAGCCCTTGAAAAAATAGGACAAAAAAAAAAAAAACGAAAAAATTAAAACAGAGCATACGCCGTTCTAGTTGGAATTAGAATTTACATTAATGCAATTAATTACTGTAACAGTTACGCTAGAAGCTTGGCTCGAACACTATCGATAAATCAGGGAAACGATTCGTGGTTCCGACATAGCCTATTATGCACGCCCCAACAACGGGATCAGGGTATGATCAGAAAAAGTATATTGCAGCAGTGCTGATAGGCAATTAAGATCTTTTTGGGTGTTGTTACTGGGCTACTCTGGCGATTTAGCGCCGAATTGATCGCCATCACGTCGTTAGCTTTTCCTAAGCAACGATCTGCTTCGAAATATAACCAAATTAGAGAGCGGGGAGTATTGTATGTATGACACAAACGGTAATGGCAAGTCTGATCAGTAGTTAGTAATACTGCCCGTGCACCTGCACGAACCTTATCTTAACGGTGACAGGGCACGTTCGACATGTTTTTACAGTAGAAACAAAGAGCTTCATTTTCGCGATGGCAAAAGCGGCAGCGGCGGCGGCGGCTTAAGTGACTCGTTTAGATGAAAATTTCTCCACGCATAGCCAATAGACTTGACTATAGAACATGTTCCAATACCGCCTTCTATAATTTCATAGTATATTTGAGATTTCTATTAATTCGTTTCAATCGATCTGTCAATTCGTTATTTCAGCAGCTTTAGTTGCTTACTTATTACAACTTGGAACTATTATTTTAACATGTCAAACTTTGCGTAAGTTATAACAACCAGTTCGGCTCGTTCTGTCGGTTATCCACGAGATGTACCGCGCTATATTTCGTCATCGTTTGTCATATATATTAAGCTTGCCTGCTTAGCAGCGGCTACTGCTGCGACGACGATAAAAAAAGATTATATTAGTAATACCGAAGACCTACGAAGAAATGTTTAGAAGGATATATATGTATTCGTAATGGTGTAGCATTTAGAATAGCTAACGTCTAGATCCTAAAATGATAGCAACACTAGGCGCAAGCTGGGTTATGCTTGCTGGTTTTCAAACAAATAGCTGGAAATACACATAGCTACTATCTGCGAATGTTCTAGTCCCATTTGTGTATATGTCCTTCTACTTTGTCGATATCGACAATTATCCTTAATTCTTTCACTTCATACTACGCCTGTTTTCCTACTGATTCACGCGCATCGGCTTCGCAGCCATATCTAAAGCAACCTCGCGAGTCAAGCACGAAAAATAGACACCAATACAACTATAGGTTTGTGATGTAATTGGCATGTCGCTTCGTAAGTCTGTCGGAGAAAATCCTGATATCGAATCCAGCAAGGCCCAACTTGCCCAGTCCTTGATCCTACATATGTGTGTGAAAAGGGGCAGTTCCGAGGATTTGCTATTACAGGAAAGCTCGAATTAATTCATAAGGGTTAGTTGGGTTTTCTGTCTGTTACAAACGTTCCCCATATACAGCCCATTTTAACTGATAAAAATTGGAAAAGCTCGTAGTGCACAGGTGCATTTCTGTTAGTTGTCGTTAGTGTCTATTTGGACGTGGTCTCAATGGGAGTTTTTCCGAAGGAAGCGCACAGGCGGAACGGTAGTTGCAACAGCCATATGCATTGCTGCTCTATCCTTATCCTATCTTCTCTGATAACTCGCAGTCTTATTTTGTTCTATAGAACCTAAAGAATATAAAAGTGAGCCAGTCTCGGCCACCGATTTCCGTAGGCTGCGAACACATTCAAATGAAATACCGATTCTTCTTTGTTACGACATTTTGTTACCCTTTTTCCTGGAAAGCTGTAGCTATAAGAAATAAATAAAAAGGGAATAAGTAGAGACTGTATTTATCTTCATTTTCGTAAGTGTAAATTATGCAACATGTCTAAAGGAAAGTCCTGCTAGGGAATCCGAGTCAAAAAGAAAAAAAAATATATATTAACAGTCGGCAACAATTCAGCCTATGAGAAATAATGACGTAAACGGCTATCAGTGAACTGTTATGCCCCCTTTAGTATTTTTGGGTTACCGCGTCCTCGATCGTATAGCTAAAAGAGGCGGTTCCGAGCACTTGTGAACTTGGCAAAGTCGGCTAAGGATGATAAAAAAGAAATGAACAAATAAATAAAAAAAAAAACAAGCCAATAGGTGTGCAAGCGCACATGTCGACGCGCATTGTTATTATGGTGGTGAAGTGGTACCGCGTTTCGTTCCAGTATATATATATATATATATATATATATATATTAACACTAAATGTCATTGCCGTTTCTTATTTACGGACAGCTGGCGCTTTAGCTGGCAAAGTATGATTTAGCAATAATTAGAAATAGAGCTATTTAAGGAAGAAGCTAGTCGAGTAACGTTTTCAAATTATGTCCGATTTAGATAATTTACTATTACTAAATCGCATTTATTATAGTCCATTGGAAATTAATGCCGCCTGCATCTCTGACTAAATTCTGAACTAGTCTTTACTAATCGCTTTCGCCAAATCGGACTCTGAAATATTCTCAGTAGTTGTGTTTAACAACAATAGGTGAACTCTACTTTATGTTTAGATCGCTGCCGCCTTGTTACAGACAGACAGACAGCCAACGGTTCACTAATCATAGCTCAAATACAAGCAACCAAGATTGCTATTATTTAATCGTTTTATCCCCTTGTTCATGAATAACGAGCGCTTTAGATAGCGAAAATCATTTTGCTCGTGTTAAAATTTACCGATATTGTCCTGGTCTCTCAGCAGGGCTTCTTGCCCGCACGGATTCTCATACCGAAACAGTATATGCCCTTTCGCTGTTTTGTTGTCTCCTCGTACTAGGATTGAATCTATCGCTTTGCGAAGTCTGTTCAAGTAGGTCCCTTAAATTCCCGCGAAAAAGAGAAAAATACTTTACCGCAGCGGTGAAATGATGTCGAGGAGCCCATACGCACGAGAAAAGAACTTTTGGGTTCAAGCCCGAAATGGCTCAACAATATACTCTCTCCGATTTGATTGAGGAATTTCATTGCGCCCATGCATTACTTATGTTCCGACTGAAATAAATACAAACCATCTTCCGGGATGGAACTGATTAGCGATTTCGACCCTTTGAGTAGTAGCTATCGAGGCTTCCATTCGTCGATCTCGCATTGTCGGTCGTAGTATCTATGGGATGATATGATAGATGGTTTTAATAAACATTGACACACCGGATTTGGTTCTTCTCCGAGTAGGACTTGGCCTCTGCACGCACGCAAGAGGTCAGCATCGAATCTCGAGCTTCAGCAGTAATTTCGGATCCATTGAATACAAGGATACATCTACCTAGTTCGGTTGGGTTTCGCGCTGCTGGAGCCGATCGGCTTGCGTTTTAATGATGATCGTCGTAACTTTTTTTAGTAATTGGCTGGAATTAGCTAGTTAGGTCAAACAACGCTGAGATTCTAGGTGCTCAAATGACCCGACAAATATGGGTAATGTTGTTACCGATCGCGAAATTGAAGTATTTCATCACCAAGTGGCAGAAGTTTACGTTCATAACTTTTTGCTCGTTGAGACAACATTGCGGTGGACCAGACGTAATTCTACGTCAAAACAGTGGCGGCCACGTTCTGTTCAAAGATGCAGTAAGAATAATAGATGTGAAGCCATGGGGTGTAGCTTACGGGGGCACTACAATAATAATAGCTTACATTAGAAATGAAACGAATTCGACGGAGCGGTCATCAGGTTTACTTAAAACGATACTGGGGATAGATCCCTGCTCTGTATGAGGATGGCAAGGCCTCAAAAGGAGACCACCTCGAGTTAGGAGTTTCGTTATATTGCGCATTGAAAACTACAGATAATACAAAAACTGTTGCAAGTATTCGTTGGGCACGATATAATATTTTAAAAAAACTGCTCAACAAGCCGAAAAACCGACAAATAAAGTTAAATAGTCGCGGGTCACCAGCTGAACGGAAGGCTTTAGCATACGCGACGCCTCATTGACGCTAGCTGAACTTTTTGTACGCATCGACCCCTCACCGTTCGATTTTTTAGGTATATAACAGATTCAATGTTTAAGAGTGCATCGGGGTGCATTATGGTAGAGTTTATTCGAAGGAGGTGCGCGCAACTGCGTATGATACTTAGACTGTAGATCTTAATGCAAGTGTCTCCTAAGATAGCGCAAACGCTTCCTCAAAAAAAGCAAGATAACGAAAAATGAATTCTTCGGCATTTCAAAGGTATTTGACATATCCCCATTAAGAAAAGCCTACTTACTTACTTAACATAATGAAACCACCCCCAGACTCCCATACTGACCAGGCCTACGTGCAAAAAATATTGACTATGTCGAATTGTGGTCATGTGAGGATATGGGAAATCCACCTAAACCACAATCACAGAACAGCACCGATGCGCAGATGCTCAAATACTACTGCTTCCAGAAATGAAATTAGGGCAAGCGTTCGGCTGAAATAGCTGTCAATGGAAGACCGCAACGCGCGCTATACCGAACTAAGTGGTACATTTTGACAATTTCGTAAGGGACCTTACCAATCTACACACAGGTAACATTACTAAATAAAACAACAAAGAACAAAACAACCATGATTTTCTATCTTTTCATATTACACAACGTACAGGTACATGCGTTGATCCGCCACACGTAGTCCCTCTTGTAGCATTCATTCCTCGTAATAGTTTTAGGAGCAATACGGCGTCTACCCCAAGCAGACGATCTGGTCTGATTTTGAATAAATACGTAAAAAATTTGATTTTTTGCCGTTGACTTAAAATTCAACCGCAACAACTCTCTAACGTTTAAAGATGATGATGATGATGTAGGAAGTAAATCGTAACTAACTACGCCACTTTCCCTAACGCTAAACATTTTTTGCATAAATAATTGCCTTCGGCGAATGAACAATTTCGTCGTAAAAGGTTTTCTGAGAACCAGCCATCTGAGATGATGTCTAATGGAAATAAACTAGCTTCATTAATAAATAAC